CCCGATTTATTCGTCAATCGTCATGCGGCGATTGATCAACTTATTTCCTTTCACATTAGTTGCCAAATTTAAGAATTCGAATTATTCGTCAATTGTCTTGGGACAATTGACGATTTATTTTTTTCGAATTAGTTGCCGATTTTCTCACTCGATTTATTCGTCAATTGCCGGGGGGCGATTGATCAAATTATTTGTCTCCGGATTAGTTGCCAACTTTAATACCCAAATTATTCGGTCAATCGAAATGTTAGTCGATTTAATTGCGTCAATTTTTCGCCCAACTCTGTTCAGTGGGAGCTGCTCTTTTGGGAGGAAACACCAGAGAAGAAAAAACATTTCAAAAAGGATCCTCTCTGCAGTCCAGGAGACAAATCATGCTTTGAAAATAACCTGGTGAGTCTCGAAAAATCTATAAACAACATATAGAATTTACTTATCAATGTCTTAACTCTAAAAACATGTTTCTTTAAATGTGACTCGGCAAATTTCCTCTCATATTAAAAAAAAAAAAAAAAAAAAAAACAGCTGCATTATTATTTCTTAAAATTTTTGGTAATTCTTCCACACCCTGTCAAAATTATGTACTACATAAAAATTTTGAGCAATGATATTTACCAGTTCTCCTTTTAAAAAACAAAATATGAGCAAGGATTATAAACGCTATGATTGAGTTTTTGATGCATTTCTAACAATGAAAGGATCCAGATTTGGGACCCTTCTAAAAGATTCTATTTAGACTCAAAATTCATGATTTACACAGCTCTACAAATTACCTTTTCGACAATTTGTTCCTGGTCTTCCAAATTTGATTAAAATGCATTTTAATGTATTTTTCCTGGCGGAAGTGCTAGAAAAATACATTTTAAGCATGCAGATAAATACAAACCTGCACTAAAACATCAAACATTGAGTGAATGATAAGATACTCCAGCAGAGAGTTTTGACTAATGTTATCCGATCCAGTTACAATAACCAGAAGAAGTTTCAAACAAAGGCATGCTAAGCTGTGCGGAAAATCACCTGGAAGTAAAATAAATGATTCACATTGTAACAAAAACTTTAAACTTTTAATGCATAAAACTGATTGCACCAAGAAATGCATTTTTAACCTCTTAACATGTAATTCCTTAACACTCAATTTTGTAGTTATGAAGAAAAGGAGAAAAAAAGATATTCAGAAAAATTACTTTCTTTTCGTTTGATAGCGATTTCCCGGGACTGAATTAAGGAATTTTCTAGCAGGTGCGCAATTGACTTTGGCGCCATCAGGGGTGGCGGCTGGGGGCAGTCACTCTTCAAACGCCAGCCTTATTCTGGCCCTGCACTTTCCACATTTTAAATCCTTTTGTTCGAAATTTCAGATTATGTTTTGGTATTTTCGAGGAAAACACTGGTTTTCTTCAAAATATGTACTTGCAATTCTATGAGATTTCATTAGAATAAGTGAAGAAAGTTTATAAACATCTTCATCAAAACTTTAAGTTAATTTTCCTTTCGAAAAATAAAGCATGATCACAATCTGAAGTACACAATCTTCGCCTGTAGCCATTGATATATAGCTTACCAGTCAAAAATTTAGAGCAATGTTTCAGCAGAGCTTGCATCTGCTGCTCAGCCACATCAAACCCAATCAAAATATTTATTACATCAAAGCCACATTCTCCAGAAGTTTTTTTGCAAACGCTACTAATGAGAGCACATAACGTCTGCAACAAAGTTAATGATTGGCAATGTAAGTAAAATGACAAAAAGAAAAAAATGTTGATACTAAACGAAAAAGGCCTCAAGGGCAAAAATCTTGGACGAAAATACAAGTTCAGATTAATCCAAAGTTCAAATGATTTACTCGTAACATTATTGGGTAATATTTTAAATCAATACTTTACTTTCAATATTTTAATTAGCACATCAGCTTTCATTGAAAGGTGGAACTGATAGAGAAATGTCATAAGAGTTCAATATTTACGACTGATTTTATACTCTCAAGCAGAGGCATAACATTGGGTCAATACATGGAGGGCTAAAATCCGTATCTATTTTTTCTCCGCTTAACTGTAAAGATTTTTTCTTACCTACTTTTCATCTTACTTCAGCAACCGCAACAATTGAGGAGCCCTCCCTGGCCACAATAATACTAGATAACTAGATCCTTCTAGAAAATTATTGATATGAGTTCGACTATCAAAGAAAATCAGGGAGGGAAGAGGAGTCAAAGAGGAAAGTAACATTGAAATCATGATGTTATTTGATGAGTATCTGACAAAGTTAAGTGAGAAACATGCCTTCTGACCCAGTCTGTTTGACATTCATTTGTTCTCTAAAAGTAAAACTCATCAAAATTTTGCTTCACTCTTGGAATCAGTTGCCATTTGTAATACTTTGGATCTACTGATCTGATAACTGCAAACTCATCTTTTTCCTGGGTGATTAAGTTATTTTTGTGTACTATTCTTTAAAATTTTGAAACAAAAATCACCTGTAATGCGTAGACAACACGGATTGCATGTTCATGATCTAGGGTTTTGACACATTCAGCAAATAAGATATTTATATTTGGTTTCAAACTCATCAATTCATCGCCAGAAAGTTTCAAAATTTCTGCTTCTAATAAAGCTACCTGTAACATTCATCACATGAGGAATTGAAACGGAGTACACAATTGTATAAAAAATAGATAAGTAGGTATCTCATGAGACTGAGGTTTTAAGATGAAACAAGAACACTTTTTGGGCCTACAATGGAGATGTTGCATGTGTCAGGAATTTACAATTTGACTATTGATTCTTATGTTAAAGTTTGCGAGGAACCTGATGAAGCCACTGGTTTTCTCTGAAATCAACTCCAGAGCTCAAAAAAAGCTCTCAAGTTGAGGCCAAAATGGAGGGGATATCCCGCTATTCTGAGAGTCCACCTCTACATCAAGACAATCTCTCCATGCAAAGATAGGGAGCAAATACATTGATAGGGCTGTCACCTTCTTTGGGGACTCCACGGCATCACTGCTAATGTATTTGCTCCCTATCTTCGCATAAAGAGTTTGTCTTGATGTAGAGGTGGACTCTCAGGATAGCGTGGGATATTACCTCCTTTTTGGCCTCAACTTGACAGCTTTTTTTGAGCTTGGGAGTTGATCTCACAAGGGGAGGCTACCGATTATCCCCCTCAGATTGGGTTCAAATTTGGCAGAGAAGTAGAATAGGTTAATATAAGAAACCGTATTTTTTTTAGGTGCCAATGCCCAGCCTTTTTTGAGTTATAAATTTTTGAAGTTGCTGTTTTTTCGTGTCATCGACGCACTTAAGTTGAGCCTACTGAGCGCGCACCTTTTAATGCGATCTAGATTTTAATAGAATAGTAGCAATAAATTGTCAGTGAATTTGCAGTACTTAATTCGTGCACTGAGGGCATATTGTTAGTTTTTATGGCTTAGTTTAATTTGAAATTTCAATAGCCATAAAATATAATTCATCCATTGGATGAAACCTGGAGTTAATGAAAACACAAGATGAGTTACCTTTGGTTTTAGTAGAAAGAATTCACTCCAAAAATTTGGATTGTGTCTTGTTAAGTCTTCTCCCTGGACAAAAAAAAAGGTTCATGAGTCTAAAAACATGGCAAAAGATGTCTTTACTGTCAGTCAAGAAAATGAGCTTAGCTTCTCTTGAATTTACTTTCTTCTGTTACGGAAAAAACCGCCTACTTCTTTTGTGTCTTAAAACGTTCATACGTTAATGGGCCATCAGACGAGGTCTAAACTAGAACAAAATGTCACATGTCTTCTCTTCAAGATTCTGTGTAGAAAACTATTCACAAAACAGAAAGTTTTAAAATTAACTCCTGAATAGGATATTCACAATTATTTTTAACTCAAATCAAATGGAAGTTAGATCATTCAAATGACGTCATTCATATTTTTGCCATTAAACCAACTTTAATGTTACTGTTAAGTACTTGAAACTTGTCCCAGAGTGGATTTCTAGAATTTCCTTTATGTGATTTGTCTGCCTCGTTAAATTTTGAAGAGAAAAATGCTGTAAGGTGGTTTATATCACAGTCCAATGTAACATAGGTTAAGGAGTAGCAGTAAAAGTGTCATAATAGGTACATTTAGTACATTTTTGTCAGATGATTCTTTCGGTGAGTACTCAAAAAAATTACAATGAGCAACAACAAATTTACATTGATAGATTGTGAATACTCATGAATAAATTTTTGCATGAATAACTTCTAGAAATACAAAAAGTGAAGAAATGATATGTTGGAGCCCATTACAGATAAATTTTCCCCTTAAGCTGCAAAAGATGTGAAATTCCGTATCCGATGCATACAGCAAGAAACAAAAGTTATCAGAAACAGGCAATAACTTGCCTACTAAACATTACAGATACCATGTGTACTCAGGAGTTATTTTACTTACACGGAAGAAAGATTCATAAATTTGAACAATTTTCTCTTTAAGAAGCCTCTTGGATCCTCCAAAAACACTGCTTCTTCGGACACTCATATTGATATATGTTTCTGGTTGGGGGATTGGCTTTCTTGACTATGGAATGAAAACAAGGTGCTGAAATAATAGAAAGTATGTAACCATAAGTTTCTCTGAGGATATTCAATACAAAGGCAGAGGTATGGCATGATATGAGTTGGACTTTTGTGAATGATTTTAATCAAGAGCGGCACATAGTCAGTGAATTTCCTGAACCATGTATCTCCTTCATGATGTTTTAAATTCCCCATTCCCATTTTATTTTTTTTTAGGGAAACAAGTTAACATTATTCCTTGAAGCTTTCACAGAATTTTCTTCACACAAAGAGGAAAAATCATGGAAATTTTAAGGAAGTGACTTCTTGGTTTTTCATTTAAAAAAATGAGATATGACAGGAAGTCTACATTGTTCCAAATCAAGATATGTGGTCTTAGAGTTTCACCATTGACATGTCACCACTCTCCAGCCATAGCATGACAGCCATGCAACATTTAAAAATTTCCGCTACAATTTTATTTTTTAACAGAGAAATTGTTGGTTGAATCAGTTTGAAAATTTCATTTAATTTTATCGGCAGCAAAAAGAAAATCCAGTGAAATTTTTTGACAGCTTTGCTGAACATTTCTCTGTAAGAAAATAAAATGGTGGCGGAAATTTTGAAATGTTGCATGGCGCTTGTGATACTTTGGCCGGAAGGTGACTGTGTGTTCTGTCTGATATTCCATGGCAGAGAGCATTTTGGTTTGAAAATAAGTTCTCCATTGTAGAGCCCAGACTTGTCAGAAAAACATCTGATCACTAATTATTCCAATTTTAATAATACTTCTGTACATTGCATAAGTAAAAGATCATTAAAGGACTACTGACAGAACTGAGGATCTAGTAGGCTACTGATTACATCTCATCAAAGCAAACTCCAAGTATAGAATTTACCAGACGGGAGTGGCAGGAAAGTCAGTTGCTGAAGCACAAGTTGCCATTGTTCTTCATTAAATGAGAACTTGAATACAACTGTAGGAGTATTTCAACCAATCTTTGTCAATAAACTATCGGTAATGTTTACTTCAAACAGTGGCTCTCATTGAAAACGGTCAGCTTTGTCAAAATTGCATGAGCTCTGAGTTAAAGCATTGTGTGACCCCTATGTCTGTGTATCAGGTTGATTGGTCAGTGAGACTGATACGTGTGGCAACGGCACATTTCTGTCAACTCCGAAAATTTCAGTTGACTATTGGTAAGGGACTCCTTATCTTTTTATCGAAATTGTTTTGACAGCTTACCAAAAATCGATAGTACACCTCAGTACAGCTGAACAGGGCCTTTCCCCTAATTGATAAAGATTATATAAATAAAACTATATGACGTTCAAGTTTATCCTGGTCCTTGAATGATGAGGAGATAGAGCATACTCGCTATCCACTGTAGGGCGTTTGATTTAATCACCGTAGTAGAAAGACACACATTTTAAAGAAACGTTACACATACGCTAAGCTTAAGCTAAGAAATATTAAGCTTCGACAAAATTATAGACAACAATTAGGAAAGGAGTAGTGGGCAATTGGCAATAATCGAATGATAAGCTATGGCTATCAGCAAAATCACCGATGAACAGATCCGATCATTAATAACAACATAACCTAAAACTGGATAATCGTCACCATACGGCACCACCAACTGTCTCTGAAGAAAAAGCACCAGTATGGTTATCTTTGTGGTTCATATTTAAACAAAAATGTTTATTATTTGACATTTTAAAGTTTTGTTCTTCTTTATTCATTTTGAAACGATCCTGAAATTATTTTTAACGTTATTATAATGGTGCGAAGTCTTCAGGTTGCATGGTTTTTACATGGCTTGCACTTTATCGGAGACAGATCGTTTATCAGAGGTTGGTGTCAATGTAAAGGTTGCCGCTCTTATAAACTTAATAATAGTTTCTTGTAAATTTGCAGCAAAATGTAATTATTTATCAAATTAATTTGGCAACATATATCCGAGTGCGTACAAAGAGTGATAATAATGTAAACACCATTGAAACACCGCGTGGAGCACGGCACACATCAATCTTCAATCGGCTTTCGCTTGCCGCTTTTCCCTTCTTGAATAACAACGGGCGTTCTCCAAAATTTAATGTGTCTTATTCCGAATTTTTCTTCTGTCAATTCGAAAGACCATGATACGTTAATACTGAAACAATCTCAAGTTCTGGAATCTACATCATCTCCAAGTCGGGACCATCGGCCTCTGTGTTGTTATTGTACTCTTTCACCCTCTCCTTGGTCGTTCTTCTTGCTCAAACAATTAAATCATGCATCAGGTATCATACTTTCACTATTCTAATTGATTTACAAAGCTATCAGCATTGATCGACTCTAAAGCTCGCTAATATGGCATAATAGCATAGGATTGCGCTTGTTGCATGCTTGTGGTCTTCGATCATAGCAGCGCAAATGATCGCTCAACTCCAGAGGGTTTATTTTATTATGTTATCATCTAGCCATGCAATCAAGGTGCCAGATTATTCTGTTCTTATTAGGGTGTTGAATGACCTTAAATACGGAGAAAGTGGTGGTTAGGGTTTTTAGGAAACTTCTGCTAGCGCATATATAAATGGATAGATAGATAGATAGATTTATTCAATGAAAAGTTTAACAAAAAACAGTGTGCAATCACTGCAAGAATACTTGCCGAAAGAAGCCTATTGTGTGGTGGGAGTAGTAAATCTAAAACAACCTAACAAAATAAAATAGAAATCTTTCATTAGGATTGGCCCCGCTGCCCAAATAGCACAGTCTTTAGTTTGACGCAGTGGCTTTAGTCTCAGCTTAAGTGGACTACACCTTGCAACTTGGAATTACAAATTCTAGCCCGGTTTAATAAACAACGTATGTGCCACTAGTCTCCCTATGCGCATAAGTGCTTTTTCGGATGAGCCAGACTTTATAGCTCCAAATTGCAAAATGCAGTCCCATTAATAGATGTTATAAAATCTGAACTTTTAGTGACAAACAATAAAGAATTTGATAATCATATTCCCTCTGAACAGTTCATAACCCCCTCCTATTGCTGGTAGGGCAATATACAAATGAAAATATCCCAGATGAAGGAGTCAAGTAATATTGTCCTGATCTGAAGAACTTGCTTCCAGAGTTGAATGACTGCCCAGGAGCTTATGGCACATGTGATCAGTAGACATTGAGATGAAAATGAGCCTAGTAATAATTCTTTCTAGTAGGGACACCCTGAAACCATGCTGGCCTGGAGCAGCAACTAAGCTAGGGCACCTCTTTGGCTTCGGTGCGATATGACCAAGTTCTGTTTTCCTCCGATTTTTTTTATCATCTATAGGACACTTCCGAGCAAATTCTATTTTCATCCTATTACATAGCAATAGCTGTCAAGAAAACTCAATCAATTTCAATTATCAAAAAGACAACTTATTTTATAGACTGTTTAAATGTTTGCTTCAAAAAACTCTGATTGGATAATTTTTTAAGTAAAAAAATGTTTGTTTCAGAAAACTCTGATTGGATAATTTTTTAAGTAAAATTTATGCGCGGTAAAATTCTAGTAAAAAAATGTTAAATAAAAACTCTGTAAATACCAACTGTGTTTTTTCAACAGGTTGCAATGTTTCAGAATCTCCACCGCTAATTTATATTTTAAGGATAAAACAATAGGGTGAATTTTCTGAAATCCTTCATTTGGAGCATTGTAGAATCACAAGGAATGTATTCAGTAAAAGTTTCAACGATTAAATACATTCACTGTAATCATGATGGATGAAACGTAATGATAGAGATTCTAAGACACCGCAATGGAAATGTGGCCTATCTGCATCCAGTGCTTCAAATTTGCTTATTTTCCTTGTTTTTTTTCAGGAAACATCCAACATCTCATTGATTGCAATAAAATTAGAAGAATGGAACAGAATTGATAATTTGGAGTCATCAATTGGTACAATGACTGAATTTTTTAAGGAACTACGCTCAAAGTGCACAGACCAAAATTTTCGAGAAAAGATTGCTGCTAATCCTGCTATAATACGCCACTCTGTTGGGATTATCAGCAAAGTCGCCAAAATCAAGCTGACTTCCTCTAACGAAGATGATTTTTCAAGTCAGCAAATAGTGCCAGTCGTCCCCAAGGAGGCAGAAGGACACCAGTCTAGTCGCCCAAAATGTTCCAATACATCCATGAGTGAAAAAAATGGAGATAACACTAAAGAAAATACTCTAAATTTTGCGTTGATGGAAGACAGATTAGAATCATCACCAGAATTAAAAGACGAAGTCATTTCATTCATAGTCTTAGTATTGCAATTCTTAGCTAATGCTATTGTCCAATCTCCTGAATCTCAACTTATTCTTTGGCAGCAAGCAGAAACTTTATTCGAGTGAGTGTGTATTTCTGTTCAGTATTTTTTGATGATACATTTTTTAAAGTATTTATTATTAAAATACTCAGGGAGGAGTTATTAGATGCTGACAATTCACAATTCGCCGAGTCTTGTCACACCTGCAAGAGTGATCTAATCCTAAAAAACATGTCTCTAGCATCCTCGACCAAGTTATAAATTCTTTAAATTGCTCAAGGAAAAATAATTTACCTATCACGCTATGCTTGAATCAGATACCGTCCCAAAATAACAAACGCTGTAACGTGTCATAGAGTGGCTACTGTTAGAGAAAAGAAACAAAATTACCCTAACCAGGGAAAAATTTGACCCACATTTTACAATTAGGAACTACTATTTCTGGCTCATCCAAAAAAGCACCTGTCTGCTTAGGGGAACCAATAGCGTGTATGTTGTTTGTAAAATGAGTCAGAAACTGTAGTTCTTAACTTCTTAATTGTAAAATGAAGTCAAAGTTTAATGTTTCTCGTCCTTTGGCTTAATATCAGTTTAAACCTTCACAACATAATTTTCCTATCTACCAATGAAAAATAATTTTAATTCCCACAGAATTCTTTTGCCTCACCCGGAACGACGTCTTCAAGAAGTCATTGGAGCAATTACTTATTACACTTTTATTGGCTGTTCCTCTCTTCAAGAAAGAATCCTGAGCAATATGCAAATCATATCTGCAGGAATTAATACTTTGCGAACAGCTAACACAGAATTTTGGTACGTGTCTTAAAATCCATATCTTTCGTCTTTTCTTTCTTTCTCACAGTTGGCGGAAGCCTAGCCCTTCATAATTCTTTTCAAAGAACTGTCTGTGTTCCGCCAAGCTTTACCAGCCAGCCACCTATTACCGCTATTAATAAATAGCCTCCGTCTATGTGGCAACATTTTCCTCTCAAATGATAGTGCCAAAAATTAGCCATCTGCATTGGCTGGTCCTTTATAATGTGAGTATTTTCCTGAGGTTTTGCTCTTAATGGAGGTCCTTTCCTGAACGCTGCCCACAACTATTTTATCCAATAGGGTTTCATCACCAAATTGACTGTTCAGTATTTATTTCTATTGGTCTGCTAAAAATTATTACACTTGTGTTCAACCTACTAGGCGTATTTTACTTTTTGTTGGTTCCCTTTGGCCAATAAAATACACTCAGCTTTATGCCTGTAGCTAACGTTTTTCAATCAGTCTCAAGTGTAAGAGTATTCCAGTTATAAGTAGCCAGGTTTTGGTCGGCTAGCTTCCTTTCAGCCACTAACAACTAAGGCACATCTGGCAGAATCAGTTCCTCAAATGGAATCACTGGATTTTATTGATTTCTATCCACCTTTGATACCTCTCAATAACTGCTATGTACCCAGGTTTGATTGGCATCAGATAGTAAGATTATGCTGGGCTGTGCTAGCCCTGATGATGGGCCAAATTAGACCCGAACCCATCTGCAGTTGCCTCCCTGATTGGTTGTAATTTGTGTTGCACCAAACAGCAGAAATCTCTCGAGAGAAAATATGTGCTCTGATGGGCTTTTCCTTTCTACACCAGTTTCATACTGAGATTTAATGCTGGTTGGCAAAATCATTAATACTTGAATGATGATGCTCAGGTAATTGTCTACTTTTAATTAAAGTTGCTCTTACTCCCTCTTTTTAGCTAAAAATTCCTTTCAGCAATGTCTGTATGTCTTTTTTTCTAATATGTTACAATATGCCCTGCTATTTGATGGTTTATTTCCTCTTTCCAGGTATATTTTCTTTGAACATTTGGTAAAGAATGGAAGTGATTTTAAGGCTATTTTTTCTAATCTATCGTCTGTGGATAAATGCACTCTGATAGAATTGATAGCGCGTATTCTTGACGATGACTCAAGAGTGAGCGATAAAAAACCAGAACAGGAAAAAGATGTCAACGATATTTCTTTATCAAATGATACCATCATCGCTCTCATCGAAGAGTTCAATAAAAACTCAGATTTCATCCTTGTCACCACCTCAAAGGGACGTAGAGATGTTGATCCTTTGGAAGTTGTGAATTTGCTGAAAATTCTTTGCAAAATATCTTCAGATCCAAATTCTATGCATCAAGCGCAGAGTAGTAAATCACTTCTTATCAATAGCGTATGTAAGTGTGTTATTATTTTACCTTCTTATTTCCATGTACTTACCTAATTTAGTAACTTTTATCAATGCAAACACTGGTGATAGGCATTTTACTTACAACCAGTATTAAATGCAGGGAATGAAATTAGCCCAAAATGTATCTAAAAGGGGAAAATGAGGAGTCAGGTCAGTATTGAAGACTAGTAGATCCCTTACATACATACGTCAAAGCAAAAATTGAATAATTTTGCTGCGCCCTTTATTAGGTTTTTTTTTTTTGTGAAATAAAAGCTCAGCAATTTTGTGAGAAAATTTAGATTTTGTATATATTTTAGCTCCATCCTAATGAATCACTTGTTAAATTATTGAATCAACCAAGTGTCATGGCATGGATGTGCAGAGAATGCCTAGTCATGGAATGCAAGTACTATTCAGGAAACTTCTGAAAAGTTAGAAATACTGCGTACAAGGTGCTTTCTTTTTTACCTAATCAGAATATTTCGATTTTGTTATTCCAAAAGTTTCTAAAAATTTCAAAAAGTTTCTTCACTGCCCCAGTTTTAAAGAAAAAATTAGAAAATTTTGAGAACATTTTAAATTTCTCCAAAAATTGTAGAATCTTCCTAAATTTGTGGAAGCACTTGAACTTGCCTAATTTCTATTACTTTGTCATTAAATTTTCCAAATTTTCCGACAAACTTTTGACTTTTCTTTGCTGTTAAAAAAGTTTGGAAAGTGTCGTAATGTTTCGAATGCTTCGAAAAGTTTTAAAATTCTCCCAGTTTTCCATAAAAATTCCATCCTAATTTTTCCTTAGCTTTAACATTCCTCTAGCCTCAAAAAAAATCTGAATGGTAAGTTTTTTAATTTTTCCAGCATTTTCTCCTAATGAACCTTAATTTTCAAATGTTTCCCGGCTTTTGGGAAAAACAGACTCAAGTTCCAAGACTAAGGTTGCAGTGTATGAAAGAAATGTCAATTTTCAGCCTATTTGTACTTTTTACCCAATTAACAAAAACTCTTAAACATGAGGAAAATTTTGCACTTCTCTTTCTTTTTCTTCCTTTTTTTTCTATTTTAGGACCTACAGTAACTATGCAGTTATCTTGAAAATTCCCACCAAAACACTCAGACACTGAACGATTGTGTGTTTGGTTTCAATATACTTGCAAAATATTAAAATCATATCAAATTCAAGCAATGACTTATTATATGAAATCTCTTTTGGAAATCAATGTGCGCCTTTCTTTTACAGATTTGCTGAGAGCTCTGCATAGTGCAAGCTGTGATCCCTCCTCCAATGTCTCTGCTGTTAAGAAAGTTGATGATGTCATTAGAGAAAGGCCTCAACTGGAGGCTAGTATCACCTATGGCCTAAAGGCTGACATGATCCGTTTAGTTGGTAATCTTATGTACAGAAACAAAGGAAATCAAGATTTTGTAAGTATAGGTTGAATCTGTAATTTCTTTTGCCCGCATGACCTCTTAGTTCCTACTTGGAATTTTTTTCAATAAAAAAATACTGTAACATAAATGAGCTGGAAACAAAAATCAGGGGAACCCCATCTAGGCCTAATTATCTAATCTAAATTATCTAATTATCAGAAACTTACGTATTGATGATTGTACAATTCAATGGTCGTAGACCTATAATGTCTGTAATAGATATTTTCAATTATCTTTCAATGACTCATATGTACCATAGCAATCAGAAATCCAACCCTGTTGTAACATTCTTTCTATGTGTTCATTTATTTTTTATTCATTCATTCATTTGTTCATTTATACCGACCTTTCGTGGAACTAAAAGTCTTGAATCATCTTGGTGATGGCAAGTCAATCAAACTTCACCACTTCACTCCATTTATCTGATATTTCATCTATGAAATAAGCAAAATTATTTTCAGTCCACAAAATGCGTCAACATCAAAAACTGATGTGTTGGGTGTATTTACTTAATTTGTCCGAAAGACTTTGTTTTACTGTCTCAGCCAGCCTGCCATGGACCAACCAAAGGCCACTCTTTTAATTTTCCTCATCTAAGTGTACTATGAAGCGTCTTGAGCATTTTATTCACACCTCATTGTTTTTTATTGTTTATCGCAAGCGGTTTAAAAATTTCACGGATGGCTTGGAGCTAAAAGTATGTACCAAATGCAACCAAAAAATACCAGGAACAAGAGAAGCACTGATTACATTGATATCAAACGCTCAACAAACACTATACAAAACTGAAAATACGAAGATGCTTGGCAGTTACACTCAATTTTTTTTCTTACTTTTTTTTTAGGTTCGGGAGAACAAAGGCATAGAAATCATTTTGGAAAGCACCTGCTATGATGGTCGCAATCCTTGTATCCTTTTTAATGCATCATATGAACATTGAAACTGGTATTTTATCTTACTATACTTGAAGTTGTTTGTGTAGTTTTATCTGCACCCTTTTTAATGTTAATGATTTAGGCATATTTTGATATAATACCTATTCTAGCACTTACAGATTAGCAAGACGCTTTTATAATCAGTCAGAGCGTATGTTACACAATTCTTAGGTTGATGGTCTGTGTGTATTTTAGATGGACCAACTGTCCTCACCCACCACATTTCATGGTCCATTTGTTCTATTTCTCTTTTCCATCAATGTTTCTTTATCTCTCTCTAAAATCTGACGATTTCTGTGTTTTCTTCTTTTACCATGCCTCTCCTATTCTGCCATGCTAAGGATAAACGCCGTAAGAACATTCGAGGGTTGCTGCATTTTCTCCGATGAAATGTTAATTTTTGCGGCAGAGCTATGAATATTTTTCTTTGAAATTTTCAGATACTGTAGATTTGATTGCAAATGAAATTCTGTGAATCATTGAGAGCAAAATATGCACAAGTTTTCGTCGGAATTAGCATTTTGTCAAAGGAAATTTGGCAACTCTTGAAGGCTCATACAGCATTTTTCCTCAGCACGGCAGTATTGTTGCCAATATTCCATACCTCCAAAAGCTCCCATCTTTCTCTAAGATTTCATTATTCTTGTGATTCTTTTTCTCTTTTATAATACCATGATTGCATTGATGACCTCCATGTGCCACAATGAAAATAATGATTTACACACACAGTGATTGTGCATGGATTTGATGATAAATATGACGCTAAAAATTATCCAATGAACTTTTCAAATACAAATAAAACGGCAAGACAAAATCAACTGCATATTGAAAGATTGAAACCTTCCTAAAACACAAAATAATGTATATCGTGCTTTGAGCTCCTGAGTCTCAAATAGGATTGAAATTATATCAAAATCTGTACCAGGCACTGTGCTGAATTCTCATAATACAGAGGTTGAAGAATTGTTATATTTCATAACAACCCTCTTATTCCTGTACTGACTCATTAGTCAATGTATTCAATAGGCCTGAAGGATGTTAACCATAAAACCTGCCGTCCCTAATTTTGATTTTGATTTTCCTTAATAAAAACAATCAGTTATCAAGGAATGGAGCATTCTAGCCATCAGAAATTTTTGTGATGAAAACGAATCCAATCAGAGGTACATTGGAAACTTGAAGAAAATGGCTCAGCTGTCAGAAAATTTTGAAGAGTTGACTGGTAGCGCAGGAAAAGATGAGTCCAACTTGCAAAATGCCGTTGAATATTTCAGCCATATGGACTCATGACAAATATTAAAGTTCTTCATTGGACTGTAAGTAAAAGAAATTATGTGATCTTTAAGGCAGTTGAGGACAAAAATGTTAAAGGTTCTCTATTATAAGTTATGATTGTTCAGAGAAAATGTGCTTCATCTAGTCATATTTGGAGGGATCCAAATGAATACATCATGATTTACAGCCCTTTAATTTTTTTGTAACTTTAGTAGAAAAAAAATATGGATTTTATCCTCTGAAAAGGTGGCCAAAAGGCCGTAGGAAAAGGGAGGAACAAAGAACCCGGCTGCTTGCTGTTCACTATCCGAATATATATTACATAACCACAAAGATGCCCATCAGGGCTTCACACCTGACAAGGGCTGGAGTTCCCTGCCTCTACTGTGCTGCCAAGTACCCTTCTCGAGGGTAGCTAACTCCTTCTCTATCGAAAGAGCGAAAGGTGGATCCCTGTGCTTTTGAAATTTAGGTTTACCGCTTGGTTTTAGAGGGAGGTTACATTTGACCCCGGGAATTTTCCCCACTTTTTGTTCACATATTTGAGGAAATTCTTGCATGATATCTGCAACTGTGATTCGATTGACTGAGGGTGAACTAATACTAATTCTACGATGTGATTTCTTGTTACTATCAAGATCATTCAGATTAATTCTTAGTTGTCTAATCCATATCCGCCCTAATATAGGTGAGAGATGAGATGGCACAATATTAAGTGGAAGATGGCAGTGATATCGTTAAACGTAACTGAGACTTTAGCGCAACACAACGGAACAATGAGGCCACCATCATAGGATTTGAAATTCTGTGGTGCGCGCTCAAGTTTTACATTCAAATTCAATTGAAGAAAGTAATTTTCTGGTAGGAGCGTAAACCCACAACCGGAATCGACTTCAAAACAGGACTTTTCCCCCTCTATGAGTACTTCTGTGCAGTAGCGCTCTGAATTCATAAGGCTATCCGTAAGATTAACTGAGGCACTTAAGGCATCCACTTCTGACAAAAAGTTACAATCTGATTCTGAGTTGAAGTCTGTTACATCTGAAGGCAATTCTTCATTGAATATGTGGTTGACTTTTGAGTTTTTCAATTGACGCACAAGAGTTGAGATACATACTGTACTTACATGCCCGCGCTTGTTGCAAGATGAACACTTTAGTTTGGACCAAATTGTCCTGCAGGAGTCAGTAGAATGATTATTTTTCCCACACTTGATACACCTGTCAGCGATTTCCAACTCATGGAAGTCTACCCTGGATCGACGCTTTGTATGAACATTGTCATTCCGGCGATAAGAGTTCCTGCTGTATGCAGATGATGACCTGCGCTTAGAAGAACTGTGATTCCTAGATTTTTTTGGCGAAGATGTGCGATCACGGTACCTGGATCTGGAATATGAAACCTTATTAATGTCCTTATCAGCTGTGTCTGATGTGAACCCATTTTTAATTTCAAGGTTATCACGATAAGACGCTTCAAGAGAAAGTGCCTTATTGACGGATTTTTGAAATGTGAGGTTATTTTCTAATAACAGTTTCTCTCTAATTGACTGAATTCGTATTCCCCGGATGAATTGCGCTCGAAGGAAAGTGTCTGAGATTGACAGCCCACAAAATCATTTGAAGTTGCAGTTTGGCAGAAATTTCCTGAGGGAGGCGACATAGTCACTAATTGACTCTGACTCATTCTGCATACGAGAAAGGAAACGATGCTGCTCTAGAAGATAATTAGGAGGAGGGCATAAATGCTTTTCGAGTTTCTCAACTATTTGGTCATAGGTTAAGTCATCCAGGCTACTAGGTGCAGAGATATCTTTAAGGATTTGATATGTTTCACTACCTATGCAATTTAGGAAAATTTTCTTTCTTACCGTTTTATTGGTGATACCTCGATCTGAAGCATAGTTTTCGAAACGCTCTCGATACTGCGAGAATTTTTCGTTATTCCGTGCGTACAGCTCGAAGTTCAGGATGAGAGGTTGTGCCGGCGCCGTGTGCGAGGATGAAGTCTGGGTTTTCAAGGATTCTTTGACGACGTCCAGGAACTTTTGAAACTGGTCAGCGTCCATGCTTACGAAGATTCTGAAAAGATTGTTTAAATCCTCGTCGCCACTGATAAGGCGGCCAAAAGGCCGTAGGAAAAGGAGGAACAAAGAACCCGGCTGCTTGCTGTTCACTAACGAATATATATATTATATAATCACAAAGATGCCCATCAGGGCTTCACGCCTGACAAGGGCTAGAGTCCCCTGCCTCTACAGTGCTGCCAAGTACGCTATAACAATGCTCTACTTCATCTTTATGAGCCATCATTGGTAAATATATTTACTCCTCAACACAATTCTTGGAATAAGAAGCAAAGCCTCGAAGTCAATGTCTCAGACATGTTCGAGAAAATGAAATAAAAAGGGGGAACTGAAATGTATCTTTCACTGATTGATCAAAATGTCCCATCAACAATTTAATTGGAATTTTCTAAACCATTAAAAGCAGTATTTTCCTGAGGCTGATTAGTAGGTATCTCAAGTAATTTTCTTTTGGCTATTCATCTACGTAAAAAAAATGTATCTCAATAAAAACTACTAAGGTATCTAAAAAAAAACTAATTGCAATATTTGAGATTATTGGACTTCGTCAACACATTCCCCTGCCCTTCAGAAAAAGTACAACTTATCATACTGACTTTTATCCTGAGGCTTTCTCTTCGGAGAGAAACGTAGGTGCTTTTTAGCCGATAAGGTTGGAGAGAACACTGCTTTAGCTCTCCTGGCCTGTTTCGTGGGTGATGGGCTTATCTCACTCAGATGGGAATCTTTTCCATCTCTTGCATTTTTTTCCATTAACTCGGCATTTTCATATCCTTCTGTAAACACATAAAATGATAAAGGAGAATACGGAGGAGAAAAAAACAAATTTAGTGATAGGAAGACAAACGGTAAAACTAAATTTTGTCCTTCTTTTACATACACTTGAGGACCTATTTAGAGTCTGACACCAAACGTAACATCATCATTAATATGCTCCTTTCCTAAGCTACTAACACTTAAGAGTATATTCACTGCAATCATCATTTGGTTTGGAAGTCATAAAATGGTGTGAACCCAGCACCATTTCTCCACTTTGTTATGTTAGAAATAAACTTACCAATATTCTCACGCAGTTTCTTAACTTTGTATTTTTTCCATTTGAAACGGTCTGAAGGTGGTGTACAAGTTTCGATGTTATGGGAGACATTTTTCGTGTTCATTGGCCAAAGGCAGATGTTTTGACCATTTTCGGAAATGACCCATGTTTGTGGCACTTCACTTGTTACGTCATCTGCGCCTTCCTTTCCTGGGAAAAGTACAACAGCAAAGAGTGCTTCCTTGCTTGTATGCTGGTCTTCCATCGTGATTGAAGCTGTAGTAGATGCTTAGTTATGGCAAAACCCATTTAGATTTAGACTCATCTCCAAAGACTGCAATTTAAGAGATATAAATACAGTTATGTTGAAACAACTTTGTCGGTACAAGAGAAGACTGATGTAGCTGAAGACAAAGTAGCTGAAGAGAAGACTGAAGTAACAATAAAGAAAAATTTGAATTCATATTATTAGAATCCACATCAAACATCTACATGACCAAGTAACAATAAAGAAAAATTGAGTTCATATTATTAGAATTCACATCAAACCTCTACATGTTATTCTTTCTAAAATACCCTTCATACAACCCTTAATACTTCTCAAATTTTGAAGAGTCCTGTTGATACATTGCTTTAGAAATTATATTTGATTTCAGATCCATAAAAGGGCCTCAGCATATTGTTGCTTACCTAACTATCCTTTTAATATCAATCCTCAAGTTCCATAATTTGAAAAAGAAAACACATGGTGCCAGCAGCTTCTAAAGGAATAGTAGAACGCACTTAAAACATTTTTTTGGGCACTTTCCTGTGACTTTAAGCAATTATATTCGGTGAAAAAAAAGAAAATTATAAAATAGTAGTTCTGTTGATAAGTTATGAAGTGTCACAAAATATTAAAACAAAGTCACATATAAATTGGACACTCCAGGTTTCTTTTCTGATGAATAAAATAAAGGAAGTCCTCTTTTTTTCATCTTCTTTTAGACAAAGATCTTTTTAAAAAATTGCCTAGGTGACAAACAAGCACAATTTACATTTTTTAAGAGTAAATTTCAAAATTGATTTCAAGCACTTTTTGAGGTTGCTCAAATCTTGGGACATGAAACAATACACATTTAAGTGATAGAGTAAGAAAGCCTGAGCTTTAAAAGAGAGGAACAATTTAAAATGTAAAATATCCAAAAATTTAAAAATAATATAAATTTCTTGCAAAACACTTGCTTACATTCCCGTAATGTACTCTTTGTTGAAAGAGAACTGAGACATTCTATTGCATGAAATATGTTATTTAACTCGGGGCCCATGTGCACCCGAGCCTGGTTTGCCCATTGAGTTTTAGGCACATGGCATAAGTTCAATTTGAGTTCGAACCTGTCGAAGTAATCCTCTATCTGTTCATGAGACGTTGGAGAGAAAGCTTCAAAAAAAGAACCGGGAGGCGGATTGGACCGTCGGAGAAGATTGGGAAGCGGCAAGCTGTAGGACCAAGTCAGTTAGTTGGGCGAGTTTAGCTTCGAGGCCTTGAGGTTGAGGAGGATCTGATTCACCATCCGGCATGATGCGATGCACACTTCACGGGGTCGAGCGATAGCGCGAGAAAAACGCGACCGTTAACGCGAAAACACGTTAAAGAGAAAGAGTTCCGAATTCTGAAATAAATGGGAAGAAAAGCTCGTCGCCATTTGTTATATCCTAAAACTAAGGATGATGGAAAAGAGAAGTGCACGAGAGTTGCGTGACATAACGACAGAGTATATTGATAAAAGATACAAGCTTGCCCTGCAGGCTGTGACACCTAAGTAGCGACAATATCACCACTCGTACATGCTACCAACTGCTACATAATATTTAACAGTTTCACATTAAAAAATGAAATTATCGCAATAATTTGATAGATCTGCTGGGATATGTGTGTCTCAAATTTAGTTCATGAAATGCTTTGCGCATTATCAAAAGAATAAGCGGCATACCGAACTTGACAATTGACAGATTAATAGCAACAGCTACTGAGAAAAACTCCAAGTACCCAAAACCCATCAAATTATGCAGCTAATCCTACAGCTGAATGTGAAAGGAATTAGGTAAACAATGCACAAGAAATTCTATCAACAAATTTCAGATTTGACAATGAAGCAAAGGGTACATGATAAAATCGGATGATTCGTATGGAACAGCCATCATTTTAAATGAAATGTCACTGAGTAACCATGTTTTCAAAGAGGACCTCCTCGATCGTGAGACCTTGAAAATATTTAGCAAAGAACTTTTTCAAGGAATCTCAAAGAAATCTTCTGCTCCCGAAAGTTCCCTGCCAATGACAACCATGCTACTCATCGTTCCAACAAATATTTTCAACGCAAACAACTTTCCTCTGTTTTAGAAAACAAAATGATTCCGCCTTGTGTGCAGCCGTGATGTTAAAGTTCCCTATCTGCACTGATTTATATTGTGGGTTGGAACATTCAGGTAACAACGGCCCTTCCACATGCTCGTCCTTAAACTGCAGATTACTATATTTTGGAGTAGAGGCGTCATTTCATCCATTACAGTATATAGGAGGTTTTTAACAGTAAGCAAAGCTGACGACTTTAACTCGGCTCTTTTTACCTGGTCAGTAGCTCCGAAGAATTCTTTGACTACATGATTTGCCTCAGGTTTTCCGTGCATTTTGCATTATGCGTTTTTTGTGTTGCGTGAAGTTCCAACGCGGATTTATGACTTACCAAGTCCTTTTTACACTTACAGCAGTATGCAATATCACTACCATCTGCGTTTTTGCCATGTTTACGCCTCAGCCAACTGTAGAATGTGGACATCTCTAACCAGATCAATTGAAACCGATCCGGATCTTTTCGGAGCTTACCTTGTTGACCTGAAACATGAAAGGAAACTGATTACAAAAGATGCATATAACTATAACTGAAAAATGCATGAATGCAGGAAGACAAAGACACGCACATAGGGATGTGTAATTAAACTTAACAATGGTGAAGGGCAAAATAAAAAATGGCATAATGTGCAGTAGAGATGTCTATTAGCAAGTTACATTGCTCTATTTATCTGCATTAAAAAAAAATTAAATGCAAAATTCAGCAAATTCAAAGATTCCGAACTGTTATTATTCCTAATTCCAAGGTGACATCTGAAATCCAAACACTTTCTCTGCTCGGTAAAAAAAATTAAGTACTTTATCGTTTAAAAAATTACGTATTGTTTGGGTTCTTTCAAAGAGCCAACACCTATAAATTGCATCCTATTCAACATGCCAAAAATTCAAGACCTTTAAAGGAATTTTTACAAAATTTTCGTTTTTTTTACCTGGTAATTCTGGACTGACCTCAGAAGTGGTTGTACGCATAAAGTTTCCATATAGTGCCAAATACTCATTTTTTTGTGAGTATAAAATTTGAGATGCAACAGAGCTCCCGAAAAATAAAAAAAATAGTCTGTAGTAGTTTGAGAAAGTCTGCAACAAACCTTTACTTGGCTGACCGGTGCTTGATTTCTTTTTCTGACTAGCAATAGTAGATTGTTTATCCTGAACTGTGTCGGACCCCTTTTCCTGGTTCTTGTTTGACCCTATTATTTGACTAGACTCTTTTTCTTGACTAGAATTAGACGTTTCACCAGTATCAGATAACTGCTTCTTTGCAAATTTAGCAAAGAAAGAAGTAATCTTCCCATCTTGCTTCTGCTTTTTGCCTGCGGAAAAAAAAAAAAAATGTATCGTAAAATAAGCGTACAGGTGTTAAGAATACATAAAATTTAGAAAAAATGCCCTGATAAACAGCTCATCATCAAACTTTAGATTAGAGAAAAAAAATTTAAAAAAATTGTAAATTACTAAAAATCAAACAAAGCAATTTCTGTATAAGGAACTGAAGTTGGTAAAAAAAGAGAGCATACTTACTGAACAAAAACCCACAATTCATATTTTTTCCTAGCAAAGATTTTTTTTTTAAGATGGTTCTGAGACGTTTTAGGGAGTTTTTGCCACAATGTTACGGTGCTCATTTTCAACACAGTTTTTTTAATTCAATTTTTGATTTTTCTTGATTAGGCACATAGGTACTTTTTTTTTACTTATGTGTCTTTTTGAATGTTGCCATCACTGTCGGTAAGGTCAAGTAGTATCTACATAAATGTCGGTTTGATTTGTTTGCACGATGGTAGATTCTACAAATAATGAAAACAAAGATATGTAAACAGTCAGACATTTGGATTAGCATACCTCATCATTGACAGAATAAGATACTCATTCTACAAATGAAAAATGAGTAAGAAAATTAAAGTATTTTTTCATCAAGATGACTAATTTAAACCATAGTTTTACAGATAATGACAACAACACAACAACAAAGACAACAAATCTTACATATAACACAAAACAAATCTTATATTTCTTAACAAATCTTATATACATATAGGTAATCAGCCATTTTAGCACTGTTTTGCACAACACACACTTGGAGCACCCATTGCGCAGTCATTTCAAAGACCTCGGACTTTCGAATTCCGAAATGAAATTTTAAACTGCCCGCATTTGCGTGTGATGCGACTCTAAGTTTCACTGTGATTGGTGGAAAACTCACAAGGCCACGATCATGGCCAATCACATTTCGTCTCTTTCCCTCCTCTTTCTTCCATGGGAGCCATACGTGTTTACCGTTCCGTTTCGTAAACCAAAATGGCGGGAGTTGTTTCAGATGTTTTCCAGCGATGTATCAAGCAAATGTTTGGAATTTATCGCGTTTGAATTTGCTGTTGACAACGAAAAATGTGATCATGAAAATTACAGTCATCGCGGGACGATTTTTTCTTAGTTAAATCCCTCATGGTGAATGTGTTGTGACCGGAAAGTTTGCTAAATATCCAGTTCGTGTGACTTTCTTTTTACCCTCTGATCGTATTATCACTCGTGCGGTATCATGAATTTGAAGAAAACGGTGAAAACCGAGCCGCAAGACGAGGAGATGGAACTAGGGCCAGCAATTTTTGGTTTAAAGCGAGTCGGAACCGAGGATGAAACGGCTCATAAGGAAGATGAGTCCAGCACCCCCTCTGCCAGCCCAGCTTTAAACAACAGAGGTATGCCTGCTCGGATCAGGAAAAAGAACAAATTGTTCTACGATGAAGACATGTTCAATGCCTCAACGGTAGGTGTCAAAAGGCAGTCTCGAAATTCGATTAAAGCCTCCCCCAAAAAACCTGCAACCCCAGCTAAAGCAAAACAAACACCAACATCCACTCCGAAGAGTACTCCGAGGATAGTCCCAAAGAGTACCCCAAAATCTGCGAGGTCCCCTCCAGAGATGGTGAAAGAAACTTCAAATCTTGAAGGCAAGGGTGAGTCAGCTAGTAGGAAGACAGGACACAAAATAGGTATGAAATTACGGAACCTTTTAAAATTACCGAAAGCACACAAATGGGTTTGTCACGAGTGGTTTTACAGTAATCTCGATGTTCCCCTGTTTTTAGGAGATAATGATTTCCTTATATGTATTAGAGAATCTTTCCCTGAGTTGAAAACTACTAAGCTATCCAGACCTCAATGGCGCATGATGCGAAGAATGATGGGAAAACCACGAAGGTGTTCTCAAACGTTCTTTGATGAAGAAAGACGTGAAATAGAAAGGAGACGGAACAATATTCGTTCTCTTCAACAGCGGAAGGCGTGTGATATTTCATGTTTCAAAGGATTACCCCCTGAGATTCCTTTGCAACTAGTTCTAGGAACAAAAGTCACTGCACGTCTCCGAAAACCACAAGATGGTCTGTTTACAGGCATTATCGATGCCTTAGACACCTCTAACAATACTTACAGAATTACTTTTGAAAGAGGAGGATTAGGTACACATTCCATACCTGATTATGAAGTATTGTCAAATGATCCACCAGATACTATTTCAATAAGTAGTTACCTGCACAAAATTCGCCCTCCTCAATCCAACTCGGCAATGTCTGTAGATTCGGATAGTTTATCATCAAGAGATGTAGAAAGCGGAGGTAAATTAAATCAGTTAATCTCACCGGGCGGCACCATGGGAGGATATCGAGTAGAGCACTTAGAATCAATGGTGCGTCTTAATAAACTCTTAGCCGTGAAGAAACTACGAATCCAGCATTTAAAGGAAATGAACTCTGATGCCGAGAGGAGAAATTTATACGGGCGCCCACTCTCCCATGAGTTCAAAATTCATTATGCTAGCTGTGTTATTGAACTTGAGCAGCTAAACACTGCTTTGAAAGACACTTTAACTGTACTGCAATCATTTGTTTTAAACAATCCAGAGAAAGAGCAACAAATGCAACAGATTGAATCATGTCCGCAAGTAGCCGCAGAAATTGTAGAGAAGAATAATAGCGATGCCAAAAACAAGGTTAATGATGAATCTATGATTAACTTAATTGTTGATTTGACTTCTTTATTACTTCAAGTAAAAATTTTAATAAACTCTGATGAAAGTTCTGTTGAGTCTAAAATCGTGAAAAACTCGATATCTGACGTCAAGCAGAGATTAGATCCGGTCAACCAAATGGTGTTCGAGAATAATGTAGAGGTTCATCTGCGTCACATTCAAGCTGGGGTATCAAACCATGTAAATTCACCTTTCATTTTCCCGTTTCAGTCATAAAAAGGCAATTACACCCTAGCCCTCTGTTCACCAATTGGCATTTTTTTCCGATAGCAAAGACATTTCGCAGACTTGCATTGTACACCGATTTTGGATCTCCTCTTTGACATGATGAAGCTTTGTTTTGAAAACTCATTGAAGAAGATAATTTTAAAAGTAACAACTGGTTTCCTCCTACCGTCTGTATTGCTAAGTGAATTGGGCCATCAAAATTGTATTTCTATTATAGCTGGCTTAGACACTTACCAGTGAAGAATGAAACTGAGATTTTAATAAATTAGGAATGATTATTGTCAGAATCTGCCAGTAACTTTCATTGATGTTAATAGTTTCTGAATAAATCCATTTTGAAAGTAGTAATTATATACTATACCTGTGTTTAAGACAAAGCCATCTCACTGTAAGCACTGAACTACTCCTAAAGAATCAGTGAATAAGGATGGGCCAGGTTCTCAGTAATATTTTTACCCTGACTTGTAAGTTGTACCTGAACATGCTAAAACTAAAGGCTTCGAAAAGGCTTCTTGATGACCCCATTTTACACCCTTGGTCAATGAGAGAACCGAAAAAGGCATCGATGTGTCACTTTGAGAGCCCAAGTTTGTGCATGAAGAACAGCTTTCTACAAATCAAATATTAAATGGGAGAAACTTAGATGTAGACTTCTGTGTGAGTTTTTGAAAATGCTTTCTCAGGACTAAAGGCAAGATCTTGATATTTTGTTGTAGCCGTTGTCCATCTTTCTTGTGTGAACTTTGTTTAAGCTTGCCTTCATGGTGAAATTGTAGAAATGTGTATTTTAGTTCGCAGCATTGCAGACTTTTTGTGATCTTTTATTTTCTTCATTCTAACGTCATTTCTTGAGAAGTTTGGTAATTTTTCTTCTCTATCTAATGGATATGCTGTGACAATTTCAAACTATGATGTTAGTTTGGTCTCCTTCAACAAAAGAATAAAATAAGAGTGGAGGTATTGCAACACCGCAACCACGATACGCATTTTTGCAGTTTTACCGTCAGTCTGTTAATGTGATGGAAAATCTTCAGTTCTAATTTAATTCTAAATCTTAATGACAGCCTCTAAGCTGTTATTAAATTACATCAAGCACAAGAAAGAATTTGAGATCTATTGCAATACTACAGGATTGTAATCTAAATTCTTCGATTGTCTTGGATTATGTTGATAATTCTAAGTATGAGAAGCAAGGGTATCAAGCAATGGGTGATGCAAAAGTTCAGTTCTGCTCAAACGTTCCACAATAAGTCGGAAAAAGGTAGCTTAAAATCTTGAATTTCATCTGATGTATTTTATGTGCAGCCCCCAATGCTTCAATATAGATTCCAGAATTGTCCAACACTGATATGAATGTCTGATGCCAAAAAAGTAGAAGTCCAGAAATAAAATTTTTCTTTAAGAAGCAAACTTCGCCATTGAGTGGCATCTTCCTCTCAAAAGAAAAGACAGATACTTTGCTGTGCTTAGATACTTCTCTTTGCTTATTCTTTAATATGTAGAGAATAGCATTTTCTCAATTTCCTAGGCTTTCATTTCTTGCCTAATAAAATGCAGTCAAATCTGTTTGTGACAAAGTGGACTTCTGCTTTTTTTGCATGATACGTTGCTAACAATTTTAAATTATTTTGTAGTTTAACGTTTGTTTCTCTGTTGATCTCTATATTTTAGTTGTCCTTGAGTCAAAGATTTCAATTATATTTTTTTAAATTTGCAATGATTGTAGAATTGTATTTTGACGGTTTGAACTAATAGATCAGCAACAAATATTAAGATCTGCATTCCTTTCTATATGTTATATTATCAGCAATATCGCCCATTGGAAAACACAGGGTATGACTTAATCCACTGAGGTAGTGTGTGCAAGGACTTCTTCCCCTTTGCTTTTATCGGTGTTTTGGGTCAAGCAACCAGTGCAAATCTATCACTCTTAGATAAAATCAAGATAGAAAAAACCATGACATGCACTGCTGCGGTGGATGGTGTTGTACGCTGTGTTTTTCAATGAGCAATAAGTACCCCTGTTAATATTGGACATTTAAGCTTGGCATTTGAACTGGTTTTAATATTTTTCGGTTATCTATTAGCTTAAACCATAAAAACAAGATTCTTTGACTAGCGCAACTGACCTATTTAAAACTCGCCACAACCATTTTTTTGGTTCGAGGATTTCAAAATCCTTTGAAGAAATTTTGATACTTATCTTGTTAATAAATATCTCTTGTCACCTTTTGTAAGGATTTCATAGTGCTTACTTGTTAATTATCACCATCACATTTGAGTAGGTTATTTAATGTCCAACCATGCTGAAGGGAATTTAATGAAAAATCTAATTCTTTTACAAATGCTTTCAAAACTAAGTACCCTATCTACTGTGCAATGTAATGAAATTGCTGTAATTAACAAGTGCAATTGAAAAAGAAATGTCTTTTTTAGTTTTTTAATCAGCAACCTCTCTTGATTTTGTCCTCAAAACCAGTTTTTTTTTTTTTAGATTTTTCACTCTCATATCCATAGGGTCCCAAGGTTACTAACTTTTGGATTGAATGGTCACGTCACATCATACACAGCATTTATGATAGTACCATCTCCATCAGTTGTCTGTTTTATATCTTCCTTCTTTTTTTTTCTCCCTGTCAGTGACCCGTTTTCTCAACAAACATGTATTGAGTGATGAAGCCTATAAAGTCAATTTGTGAATCTTTCGTTTCTTCATACCGGCCTTGGTTCAATTGATCTCGCAGTCGACTGGATTTAATTGTTGTTTTCCTTTTTTCCTCCCTTGTAGTGTTGGATTTCTCATCAAAAAAACCTCCAAAAATACAGATGGCTTTTGAAAATAAGTCAGGCAAGTTGAGTCAGGTATCAGTCAATGGCAGTCGATCTTATTTTTAAAACACTGCTTCATTTTTCAGAATTTGAAGCAGTGCCTAGTTCTGCCTTTCATTTGTTTACCTGCATGTCCCTTCATGTCTCTGTCTCTCCTATGCTAATTCAATACTAGAAAAAGAAAATTGTATCATAAATTTCCCAGAGCCTTTAGTGTTGAAAGTGAGGGTTCTCTTAGTCCATATGTACCATTTACTTAGTAAGTTAAATCGACCAATTGTTAAGATGTACCTACCAATACAGTTGTTGATTGTTTTATGATAATAATTTACTTGTGAGTTAAAAGGTTTTTAGCTTTGTATATAAGAAATACTTGTATTATATCTACTACAGTAGCTCAAATTATTTTTGAGGAAGATTTTGTGTGCATCTCTTTTTTTAAATTCAGTGATTACGATACATTTAACTATGAATTGTTTTTACAAATTGATTTCTCAAAAGTCCTCTCATCATTCTCTGAAGAAACAATGAAAATTATTCTTCTCTTGTCATCAAAAATTGTAATTATTGAGTTTAAAATTAAATGGTCAATCATCGATTCATTACTGTATTCTTTATTTTTATTCAACCTATTCTCCTCAGAAATATTATGTGCCGTTTTTTGGTGAAAAACATATGCTAATTTATTTTAGTTCATTTTGAGTCGTTACCACCAATACATATTTCTAAAAGCTAATTCTGTCTAGTTTACCACCAAAAATTCTTTAAAATTGACAAAATAAGCAATGCAATTTAAGAACTGTGAATGGCTATTTTGATCAAGGAAAAGACAGTTTGGTTAGTTAGGATTTTGTCATCACACTGTCCAGCAATGAAATTTTGAGCTGAATATCTTTATACTTGATTATGTAAGACTCCTATATTTTAGAAAGAAAAGCGCAAAAAAGTGGACTATTCCTTCAGATACATCTCGTTTTGAAATACTTTTTCTCACTCATCTCTCTTTGAAACTCTCCACTTTTGAACATTGTCTCTCTTTTGAAAATTTTGCCTCAGATATTGAGTGAAGTTACTTTTTCCCAGAGTGTGTTTTATTTAATTAAAAAAAAAAAATAAAGTTTTTCTTGTAAGTTCTCTCAAACTATCCTAAAAAGAAATTCTAAATAATTATTTTTTTTTTTTAAAGAACGAAAGTCAAATGCAGTATCCAGCCAGAAATTAAAAGGAAATAATCATTTTTCCCTCCTGGAATGATGCCTTCACTACAAAATTATTTGAAATTTGCGTTGTTCATGCTATAAAAATAAGCAGAGCTTCGGACATCTGCGGAAACTAATCAGTTAAATAATATGATGACAGTGACGTAAGTTTTGACCATTGATGATTGCCCAGTGATTGCATCAAACTGTGACTAACTGTGAAATAAAAGAGCACTTTAGAAAACAATCTTCGCTGTAATTAGGACAAGAACCCACTGAATACTTGCTGATAAAATTGATATTGAAGGACGAGAAGGAGAGTTGTAAGAAACTAAAAAATTGATAGGATACGAGCATGTTTTGATTCATATCATCACAAAAATAAGGACACTCTCAAGACAATAGTTAAGACAGAACAAATATTCAATTAACCGAAAGGCACAAAACTTTGGATGAAAGAATATGTAAGATGAAAAAGCCAACTGACCAATACAAATCTTTTTTTTTTTATACAAAGGAAGAGTTGATCCAGTGGCCGAAATTTTAGTCGGATCTTGTTACAATGTTTTTGAAGGGGAATTAAAAGTATATCATTGTTTCTGAAGACATGTTATCGAGAAACAACTGGCTGAGGCTTAGAAAAATGAATTTTGCTTCAGGAAAAACATAGTTCAGTGAACATTGCAACAAGATACGACTATATTACCGAATAGACTGCCTCAAAAAACAAAATAAAGATTTTAGAAAGCTCTTGAGAAGAGAATCGAGGAATGAAAAGATGATGACGCTCATATTATTCCTCAGAACTGTTGAGCAATTCTTGTATTGGTAAGAGGACTTAGTAGTCGCCATCTAGCTAAATACTTAGGTGATGCCTGCAAGTATTGGATGAAGTTATACTTGATCTCAAAGAAATTATAAAATATTATGAAGTTAAAAATTGCAAAGGCGAGCAGGCCTGATTGCAATCAGCTATGCTTAGAATAAGTTCGTACAACAAAAACAAGAAATATTGGCATTTTCACAACCTTACGAAATTTTAGCTGCTTTGATGAAAAATAATTATTAAGCAGTCTATCTTGAGCGGTAAAAATCTAAATCCTTCATCAAAATTCTAACATTCTTCAAGGGTAACTTATACACACAAAACTATGTCATAATTAATTCAAGTTGTTAAGGAGGTGATCGTCTTTGAATCATCACTCTCTTTCTGGTTCATGATCGTACAAGTTCTAAAAACCATTAAAAATTGTACAAGCAGTTGAGTTCATGAGCAAAATACTAAGCAAAGAGCATTGGTACATATCACTGATCAATTTTGTTTTCCTCAACGCTTAACCCTCTGTGGCATGAATTAATTTTGGATATCAGATTCTGGGGGACACTAATCTATTTTGTAGCTCGCATCAAAAACATAGAGCACCAAATTATTTTTCACAATTTTAAATTTTAGGGAATCGGTTATTCAAAAAAAGAAAAAACTAAAGCAAAATCATGCCACAGAGAAATGATTCCATTTTTAAAAACCCCAAAAACATGTTGTTGCGAATTCGTAATGCTATGCAATAGAGGGTTTAGGTCATGAAATGAAATATTAAGGGATTTTCAGCTGATGACCTAATACTGCATTTTATGAAAGACCAATGTAGGTACCATTAATGATCAAAAGACAAGAAGAATGTTTCAAAGTCAGTCGATAAACAACATTGTCTTACTCTCTTCTTGATTTTTCGTTGGTGTTCTTAAAAGAAAAGAGTTGGAATTTTCAGGAAAAAATCAAAGAGTGTAGTACTAAGGCACAATTGAAGGAAAAATTAGACTTCACTGAGATTGATACTAAAGTTACTGAAAGCCAAATAACACCACTATATAAAACAATTACCTCTATCTATGTTTATATAAAAAAACAATTCTAAATAAGAAGATAAATTAATTAAGAGACAGAGCCTGTTAGAAATTTTATTGGCTCAGTTTTGACATGAATGACATGAGGTTGTTGATAGGTAAGACTTTCGATTCACTCAAGATTAAAATATAGTTGCTTGATAAAAAGTGCTCATAAATTGATTTTTCTATTTTCCTTGAGCCGCTACTAGGTAGCTGCAAGATTACATTTAAAATTTCATCTTTTAAGATGAATACATACTTCCAAAATGCAAGATAAAAAAAGGTAAACAGTGTTATTGGGATTTTGAGAATGATGCATTAAAAATCTAAAACGATTGCAGAAACTAAGTAGTAAATGAACTTGTTAACTTGATCATTGACATGGAAAATAAACTCTAGTGTTTCATTTTTTTTTTTCAACAAAAAATATCCTGACACAAGATGTACTCAAAATGACTAACAACTCAATTTGTTTAAAAGGTTCAAGTCTTTCATACAGAATACCCACCAATTAGGAGGAGAGGACCCATCATATCCTCTTGTAATCTTATTTCCAAATTTTAAAATACTATAGGCATTGCTAGAAATGAGTCGACATAACTACGAGTTACAATTAATTTTGACAGAGTAAGTATGAGCGTATGTACAAGATGCTCTATACAAGTTTTTCTTTCTTATTCTAAAACTAAACCTATCATCTAACGTTCAGAAAAAGAGGCACTTAATCACAGCCTTTGAGAAACCACAAATTAAAATGTGTGGCCAATTTTTAATTTTGTAAAAATATATGATTTTTACTAAGGAAATTAGAAAAGAAGAATTTCGTTCAGGACAGTAACTCTTTCAGTGTGATGAACTAACATTTGTCATGAATTTTCTTTAAACAAAACCCTTGGTGTCTGAAACATGCATGTCTTTTAGTCCCTGGGGCTGTTGCAACATCCCGGAATTGTCTTGGGAGTAGGTGTTTCTAATAAGAGCTTGACCATCTTAGCAATGAAAGTACTTTCACACGAGGATACATATAATTTCTTTGATAATTTGTCAGGACACATTTGATTACCTGGCCTTTATACAGGAAGCATCCATAAGGTGATGCGAGACTTTCGGTAAATTATGAGATGCACCTTAAAACACGAAAAGTCTAGATCTGCATTACAGGGGGAGGGGAAAAAAAAACACTCAAATGCTTTGTTCATCACCCAAAGATGTGTGTGAAGCTAAAAGTGGAGATATAGGTAAAAAACATCCAATCCCTGCAAAATCCTTGCAAATTTTGAATTTTGATGGTAAAAGGGAAGAAGTCAATCAAAATGGCACAGGAATCTACGGAATTTCAAGAGTCCTCTGAAAACTCTTGATTCTGACATATTTCTCTTCCGTTTTTTTCCTCCTTTTTAAACTTCTGTGTTGTAAACCCAAAAGATCAACACCAACCCTTACTAGGATGATTTGCAAGGGCTTGATTGCTTTTTCCTTTTTCAAATCGAACTGAAATTTACTTGATTTCAAGCAATTTTGGCGACTGACCTGTGCCTGAATGAAATTCACCCAAAGTTATTTTTTTATTTTATTTTTTTAATCTAATTGATTGTCATTAGAATCCGAGGAGAGTCATAAGGGATCACAATAAATACTTTCTTCCACCTTTATGATTATAACATATGACTTTGATTATTAAGTAGATAAGTTAATTATTACACATGCGATAATGTCTTTGGGCTCTTAAAAATTAATTATGCATTGTTTAAAACTGTTTAACGAGTGAGTAAACTTCGATAAAGCTGAGCTTGTAGATAGTGAATTTTTACTGACTTATTAGACCTGAAACGACTTAAGATAAACCAAAAATCTTTAAGGCATTGAAAGCAGTGGCTAAGGCCACTTCCTCTGGAGGTTTATCTAAAAATCCTGCTATGATTTCAACGATAGCTGGAAGCGAACATGGCTCATTTCTTTGGAAAGTACAGTATCTTTGTAAAAACATCAATGACCTGCAATAAGAAAAAAGAAAGAAAAAAAAAGAGAAAAAAATTAGATCTGTGAGGAGGATATCAACATGGTATCAGCGTATTAATTCAGTGGGGTTCATAGCAACAAAAAAAAATACGCAGACTCTCTACAAGTATCTTGGCAATGATAGAGCTTATATTTTTAGGGATTCAGTATTTCCCCACAGGCAGCAATAGTCATCTTGTCCTCTTGATAACTGTTGAACTCCAGGTTCAGCAGCACACCCAGAGAGTTTACCAAACATCAGTTTGTTCGCAGCACAGATTTCTTAAGAGCCTGGGGAGGAGTGTAATTTCAAGGATGGAGTTGGAGAGTTCCACAACAGGCTACTGAAAGATTTCTATTTGTCTTGATGCTTTCATAAGTTTTGCAATTATTTACACGTTAGCACTCTTTAATCCCTCCTTTGTTTTAAAAATTAAAAAAAAAAAAAAAAAAAAAAAAAAAAAAAAAAAAAAAAAAAAAACTTGAGGAATTTATCAAGCTTTAAAGCATTACCGTTGGTAGAAGTACGAATAAATTGTTCAAGTTGCTATAGAACCTTTTTCTTACCGATTTCTCAAACTGTTGATGCTTTTATGCTACCGCTGTTTCGAGCAACCACTCATCAAAGTTCATCAATTCAACAATTTGGAAAAACGGTAAGAAAAAGGTTCTATAAAACTTGATAAATATGACCGATAAAGTTGATAAAAGAAGTAATAAGAATAAATATTCTTTTACTTAGTAAGTACTAACAAAATACTTATCATTAGATAAGCCTTGAAAAACCTCCTGATAAGATATGATGGGTAAAAAATAGTAAATCCTTCTTCAGTGCGACGCACCTCTATTCTCTCTTAATTTGAAGTTACTACCAATATCACCCAAAAAAAAAAAAAAAAAAAAAAAAAAAAAATCTTGAACAACAGATTGCAGACAAATAAAAAAGAGATGTCACTGTAAAACATTTAGAAAATCTTTTTCTCAACATTTGAAGACTGTAAAAATTACATATAAGAGCTTAATTTTGGTGAACATCAATCAAACAAAACATGCGGAGAAGAATATCCCGCACCTCTTACCTACTTTTTATGAATGACGGGTACAAAAAAAACTTACCAGGTACTCACATGCCACTGGCTAAAGGCACTTTTTACACTCAAACAAGCCAACTGCTAAAGTTGAACGTATTTGTGCTGAAAGGAGCTATGCATGCAGAACCTGTGCACATAGTTCCTTTTGGCATAAATACGTCCAGTTATTGTTCCAGTAATCCAAGTTCACAGTATTTACTTTGCATGTAATAAGAGTACAATAGAAAATATCTATACCTTTCTGTGAGCGTCTTCTTAACTCTGTCAGGCAGCTTGGAAGCCCGAGCATTTGGATACATAAAAGGTGCGTCTGTCTCAGCTAAAACTCTATCTAGAGAGATTGCTTTATTTTCAAGAATGGCCTGAACTCCAGTGCTTGAGCTATCTTTACAAATTAAACCTAATGAACAAAATTAGACTGTGAAGTTAAGATTAAAGATCAAATGGACGTATTTCTGCCAAACGGAACTATGTGCATGAAAGCATGAGCTCTGAGACCCTTAAGAACATATGCATGACAGGGCTCACGTCATAATGCACATAGTTCCATTCGACAGAAATACGTCCTATTTTGAAAGAAAGTTAAAAAATGGTGGAAAATTGTAAGAATGGAAAATAATTTATTCAGGTTTCTTTTACAGTCACAATGTGTCAAGTACGTAATTTTGTGGGATTCGAGCCAGAAAATTATTCCATCTCCATGGATCATTTGGTTTGCATTAAGCAGAAGGGAATCAACGCGATTACAATGTTGTAAAAATCGACATCTTCATCTTCATTTGAAAAAATGCCTCAAACAGCAAATTTTTTTTGCTTTTTAAAGGAAAATGATTATATAAATTCGATTTCTGTACATGAATTTAGTATTTTTTTAGGCAAAGAAAAACTTACAATTTTGTAATTGCTTTGGTTCCCTTCTGCTAAATGCGATCCATACAGTAATCAATGGTAGCACAGTGACAACCAGCTACACAAGTGGCTGAATAAAAACTAGTGGTACATTCAATTTTTTTTGTCAGGTGATTCTTTATGCATGTATGTATTTTTCTAAATCTTTGGAACAAAATTGAGTCCTTTGATGGTTACGACAAATCCCCACATGAAAGATGCTGGGTCTTATGTTGTCACCTCTTGTCTGATATTATCGGAATCGTAACAGGAATGTTTAAAATCCTCACTTGTAAATTGAATTTGGGAAGATTTAATGCGTTCAGTGTATGCTACAAGAAATTTTGCTACAGAAATATGTATTGAGTTGCATAATGGTCCATTAGTCATAATGGACCACTAGACAAGGTACAAATTTAAACAATCTGATACATGCTTCTTGACAAGAATTTCGCGTAGAACACGATTCACACAACGAAAATTACTGAAACCAACTCCTAACAAAGATATTAACGTTTTTATTTCACATTGGTTACGCGGATTTTGAACTGCCCGCTCACAAGAAACTCAAAGCTCTACGTGAGTCAAATCGCGCACTACAACGGTTTCAGCAAGCCTCTCAATCGAGCAATGTTCATTTCCCACCATGTGTTTTTCAAACTATAAGTAATTTGCTATAGCTGAGCCAAAGCGTCAAGATTGAGGTTGCCAGATTCTTTTATCGCAGAGATGTTCACGATAATGTTTAGCACGCGATGTGAATCACGTAGAGCATTGAGTTTTCATGAGCGAAGAATCATTAAATATCTTCAGAAGGAGTTGCTTTCGGTCATTTTCGTTGTGCGCATCGTGTTTTACGTGAAATTTTGGCGGAGAATCATCTATCAGAATGCTGAAATTCGTACCTTGTCTAGTGGTCCATTGGCATTTAAATCAAGAGGAACTATATCCATTTTGACATGAGCCCTGCCATGTAAGTAGGTGCATTATGTATCTCAGGGCTCATGCCAGAATGGTGCCACTGATTAAATGGACTACATTTTGCAATTTAGAACTATACATTCTAGCCCGGTTTAAAAACAACGTATGTGCGATTAGTTTCCCTATGCACATGAGTTTTTTTCCAGAGGAGTCAGAATTTATAGTTCCAAATTGCAAAATGCAGTCCAAATGAAGGAAAATGAGGGGGAAAAAAGGCTAGCGCATGAGAGAGAAAAAAGGAACAGTACCTGTAAAGCCAATATACATGTCCATTTTTATATACTGCAAAGCTTCTTCATAGGAGCCTGTGAATGAGTGTATTATGACAGGGGGTAGATCGCCTTGATATTTATTAAGAATAGATATCAAGTCTTGATGAGCTCCTTTCTCATGAATAAAAAGAGGCTTCTTCAGTTCTTTGGCTAGCTCAATCTACAGAAAAAATATCAGTATAAGATAGTAAGAAAGATGCAGACAAGCAAAAATAGCATAGATACCGCTTAAAGAAGGGTAATTTGTCGTGTTGGTGAAGACAGCAGTAAGTGCAAAAAGGAAGTTTTGAAAGAATTGACTTTGTGACGTCTGAGCAGAAAATTTTATAATAAGAAGCGTTCTTTCTCTTTTTATAAAATTGCCACCGATCATCCAAGAGACTTGCAGAAATTGTTAGGATGATTAAAAAAAAAATTAACAAATTTTACTTTCAATCATATGTAAAAAGGGCCTTTTTCATTTTAATGTTGGGCAAGACAATCAAAAGTGCTAACAACTGTATCCTTTTATAGTTGTGTTTTGGGTACACAACAAAAAAATTTTAGCCATGATCTGGCATGTTCACTATAGAAAATATGGTTTAGTTGTGGTTTACCTATTGGAGAAAAAAATCCAGACAAAGTTACAGGTAGAAAATTACATTTTGAAACCATCCAGGCATGGACACATTTTTCTTATGCAAGATGAACAATTTCCAGTGAGCACTCTTACTACTAGATAACATTTCAAGGAGATTTTTAAAATATAAAATTAACTTTGGAACCCTCGAATTGCCCATGGTTTTCTTTTACAGCTTATGTCTGTGCAAGAAATTCAAGCTGACTAAATTCCACAAAACCAGACACTGTCAACGTTCAACAGCACTCTAGAATAATCACAAGTACCTAACATTTTCATGAGCCTAGAAAAAAAATAGATCTTCTGTAGCAGAATGTAAAGCAATTAGAAGACCTCCTTCAGTAAATTGAAAATGAGGTTAAAAAATAGAAGTTAGTTTCAGATCACCTGTTTTTCAAAAACTTCTCGTTGAGTTTCAATTGGAGAAAAGTCTTTATTGTAGTCTAGTCCACATTCTCCAATGGCTACACACTCTGAATTACTTGCAATATCTTTCAAATCTGCATAAGATTCACTATCCCAAGACTTGGCATCATGAGGATGCAAACCTATAAAAAAAGAGAAAACTACATTGAAATATTGTAATTGATTATTACCTGGTATTTATGAAAAAATTCGTTATTTAAAATTTTGATCAAGTACTCTTACTGTCTTGTCATTTGATTTTAAACTGCTATTCATGAGACCATTTCTTTAAAATTTATCAAAATACTCATTGAAAAATCTTGAACACTAGCACGCAGAACAGTGTCACTTTTGTCTCCATTTATTGAGTTAGTGCATAACTGGCAGCTGCACCAAAATCTTCTACTTTATTTGCGCATTGCCTGGTTCAACTTGTGACCCACGAGTAGGACCAATGAGTAAGCAGCAGCTTATCAATGCTGTTTTCCTACAATTTAAGGGTTGGCTAAGTAATGTTTTTTAATTTCAATTTTTTTATTTAAAGAAAATACATAAGATTTCCCGGAGGGCGACGGCGTGGACTTCCTGTGAAAGGTTGGCGACAAGGGGTGGAGGAGGAGATCAGAAGGTGCCCATTGCCTGATGATCTCTGGGAGGATAGGGGGCAATGGCGATTGGGCGTCGCAGAGCGCGAGGCGGCACTATAAAAACGACTTTATGTATGTATGTACATAAGATCACAAACTAAACAATGATCCCTTAGTTAACTTCCCTTACTATAAGCATTTGTATGTTCTGAGGGGGTGCTACAAACTAAACTAGGTGCATAAAACACTGAATTAAGGCTTTTTTTTTAACCACACCACACAGGATTGCAATGAACAGCATTACTTTTTCACTGCTGCCATTCAGCCTGTAATTAAACTGCAGTGACCTAATACATTGTGTTCCATTGGTGAAAAGAAATCTCTCATAACAGACTAAATACTCTAGCGTCTGGTCAGTAAACAGTAAAAATATAAATAAAAAACTCTTTGCTTCAGTATACTTTAAATGTTGATTCTTAAATATAAAAAAAAAACATTTTTAAAGGTACCTTGAACTTGTAAATGAGCTTGTACATTGAGTAGAGACTACAAATTAAGAAAATTAAAATAATATTAGACAGCTCTAACCAGAGTCGGCCCAACTATACCAGATGACCCTTAATCTCCAGCACATTCCACCCTTCGAACAGAGACTCAAACATTTTGCTCTGTGATGCAAGTGGGCAACAAGATTAGAGCAAACACTACGGTGGATAACTTTAAGTGCTATCTATTTAAAAATTGTATACATCCTTAACAAATTTCTGATTAAAAAAACAGTTTATGATCAGCAGGCATCCCTGGTAATTTGGCTGTCATGATGAAGCCATCGATGACATTGCGATGTAAAATGTGTCATACAGCATTTACTCTGGTCTATTGGAGTTTCTACGAAAGTTAAATCTTTCATCACCATCCTACTGATCTGAAAATTCCTCTTTAAAAAATTATGATCAAGATATCCCTCAGATCAGTTCCGAAAAATGGCTTACAATACTTAGAAATTCTTTTATTCAAAGGAAGTTTCATTTTCAAAACAGAAAAGCATAGCCATGTTTTTTTTAATCAGACACATTGCAAGTTCAGGCTCCCAATCCCAAATTTTCCTTTCTTATTTCAGACATACAGGCAACATACCAGCAGTGCAATAGACAGTCCCTGGATAAATTCTGGCAAGCCTTAAAGCTTCTTTGCTAGATTTCAAGGAGGCACCCGGAACAATAATTTTTTGAACACCTGTAATTATAAAACCAAGGAAAGTGATGATAAAATAGTGAAAGCAATTGCCAGTTAACTTGAGATGCACAAGATATGACATTCCACACTTGATGTGTAAAATATTTTCCCCACACAGAAAATTTCTGCTACAGCTAAATCCATGAAAACATTCATTCTCATAAAATTCCCATGAATTTCTCAGAGGCATTTAGGTAATCCAACGGTTCCATACATGATTAGTGGAAAACTAAGTATGTTCCTCGGAGTTAAGAGCAAAGGAATAAAAACTATAGATCACTTCGGTTAAGCTAGCTTTGATTATTTAGAAAAACAGATGATATAGGACTTATACAAAGTGTATCAGAGGGTGTTAAAGTCTACATGCACCCTGCAAAAGCATGAATCCCTGACCCATTTTGCGTAACGCAAGGGATGTGGTGCCATTGCTGGGCAGGACAGCTACGAATGACAAATAATTTTTTACTTTAAAACTTCATCAATGAGCTACAAAGAGAAGGTGAGACAAAAGTTTACAGTCTTTACCTGCATCTTTAGCTCTCTTAATGACTGAGTCTAAGTCTCTGCTGAATTTTTTATTGATAAGGTTAGCCCCAACATCAATCAGAACATAATTTTCATAACACTGCTGTAAATTTGATCCTGGTTCCGAATTTGTGCTCGACATGATTGTGAATATTCTTCCAGTCGAAAGGAGAGAAAAAGCGCACCATTAATTTACGATACGAAATAAATTAACGCCCGGTCAGTTACAACGTATGAACAATAACATTGCCGAAGTAGTGATAAGATGATAGCAGTCTCTGTATCAAGGCCAAGACTAAATACACTTGCCAAGTGGCTGGTTCGATTTAACCGCGGGTTCCTAGTTTCCTATTGGTTGCATCGGACACATACAGTTTTTATGACCAATAGCCGAAGAGAAAAAATAATGAATACAGCTCAAAATGAGAAGTGTAAGCATGGCCGTTTCTGCAATCATTTGGTCGCAAATCCGAGAGGAAAACAGAAGAGGAAGAGGAAAACATCGTGCAATCGTGCATGTGGTGGTGAAGGTGGCGCCATCCCCTACTCGGCAAATTTCGTTTCAACTGAATTTCAATTTAGTTAGATCGAGGCTGGTTAGAATGTAACTGATTTATCATTCCTGGATTTCACTAACTTACTCCTCACTTATCTAGACTGTTAGAAAGGTAACTGTTTAAACTTAACATCTATTATGAAATGTTAGGTGCCAATCGTCACCGATACATCTAAATACAATTTTTGCAGCATGCATGTGACAGGTCACAGGTCCGTACATGGTCCACACTTACTCCCCAAACCATGAACTGCTGTGCTCTTATGATCTCTTGAAGATAACTAATCTCACTGCCTGTGGTTTTATAAAGTCCGTGAGCCAAGAATGTCGTAATATTTCGAAACTTTATTCTAGATTTTTCATCTGTATCTTCTTGGGAAGTCATGCACCGAATGTAAACACTATCTTCGCAGAAATACCATGTCTACTTTTTCGTCATTTTATCGAAACAGTAATTCCTGCAAGTATTGGCTACAGATCTGAACGAAATGAGTATTAGCCTTCAGTTTGGGCTGATCATGCATTCTTCAAACCAGTTACTTAGAATACTTAGATTAATTTTTCAGAATGAGAGGTGTCGTCAGGTAAGTTAACGGTTGATTACTTTCGGTTTGCAAGCGCCAACAACGAATTTGGACCTCTGAACAAAGCGGTGTTCGCCACCATCCACATTGAAAACATCAGTCTCATGATCGTATCTAACTATCTTCGTAAAACTACTTATCAGTTTTGATTTGCGACTTTCTTGTGGTTGTGATTTCTGTGTGGCTATAAATTAAGGGGTTACAAAGTTTGAAAGTAACAAAAAACGTATCTAAGCTTGTTTTCCTGCTTCTGAGAGAGCCAGATGTTCTCATGTGGATAGTAGTGACGCAAAAACGCCTGCAAACCGAAAGTAAACAACCGTCAACTTAGCTGACGACACCTCTACCCAAGGAAGCACCTAATGACAGTTGAGATCACTGTTTGCATGTTTTATTTTGCTATCAAACTGTCATGTCAGTATAGTCCTGATTCAGTTTAAAACAAAATATTATGGGCTTGGTACAAAACTACTGAGCTGGAACTGTGTCCTTGAAAATTGTATACAAATTTTATTCTAACACTTCTCTTACAGAATGAATGGGGTATGACATTAAGAGTAAAGTAAGGGGTTTATGCGCCACAGATGTAATTGGAGCTTCTCTAGGAACAATTAAATCTTCACTTTAAGCTTTCCTCACAATATTGAAATTGAAATTAAATCATTCGGTGATCAGTACTCAAAGTTGGTGCCATCTGAATGCATGTATCTTAACTAGTTGTGTCGTCCCAATTCAAGGCCAATCCGTGATTGACTGTTAAATCAACAAACGAAGTGAGAGCTCAGCAGCCCAATTGTTGAAACTTTAACAGGCTATGTTGGCAAGATAAGACTAGACATAGCCCTATCTGCGCCGCTTTATCTATCGATTTTTGATTCTTGTCGTGCGGACATAAATTTCAACAATCAGACTGCTGGGAATTTTGTGAGGAGGATCTTTCCTTATTGCTCTATAAATCTGTCTTTTTTAATTTCTCCTTTATAATTGTGCTCCTACGCATTGCTTACTAATGGATCACCTGATATTATTCCTTACTTGAACCCCATGGTTGTCCAGCTCATCATGACAAAACGTGAGGTATTGTGAGGTACATTTCTCATGACTTGTGAATGTATCGTATGCAACAGCACGTCCGTTATTCCTATTAGTGTGTTGAAATTAATGTCCATCTGCAGTGGCGGTGCGTAATGGGTGCAGTAGCACATACAAGATTTTGAGATTCTGAGAATTTTTTCCCTCTTTCTTTTTTTAATTTATCTAGAAAATTCTTACTTTGTCTAGTATCTGTATTGGCTTCTCTCCCTCTCCCTCTCTTTCTTCTCTTTCTAAGAGAACCTTTTCAAGGATAATTTTTTGGTGAACCCTCGTTTCATGTCTCGAAATTTATCAATGTTTTTGGCAATTGCGCTTTCAACACCTGAAAGTGAAATGAGTTTGCTGCAAACTTTCTTTAAAACGTTATATGAAGGGAAATGTTGGAACGAAGTCAATGAATGACAAGCATTTGAAGTAATACCATTGTATTAATGAAAATGACACAAAGAAAAAGCTCGACAAAAACGAGTGAACAAATCTAGCAAAGTAGCAACAGCTGACGCCATGAAGTGACGTGCATAACCAAAGATACAAGGAGCCAATCAGAGGGCAGTGGCAGTAAGCCAATAGGAGGACTTGTGGGATTGCCACATCTCACACACCCCCCCAATCCTACAAGGGCGGATTGTCTTACAGACTAACAAATCTCAGTAATTAACCAAACGAAAACATGAATTACAAATAAAAGTGAGAAATGAGTTAATTAGTATTGTTTGACACAGATGTCAGGTAGAAATTTTTCGAACAATTTGTGATTCAAACTTTTAGTGAAGATGTCTGCCACTTGATCAGTCGTTGGGATATACTGAACAAGTAGTCGCTTCTTTAAGATTTCTTCGCGAACGAAATGGAACTTAATATCCACATGTTTCGAACGCCTTGTTTCGAGATTCTTAGCAATGACAATACTATTTTGATTGTCATGGTAGATTATGGGTGTTAAATCTTGATCCAATATTTCATTAATTAATTGATTAAGAAATTTCAATTCTCTCACACTATCACTGAGTGCGACATATTCTGCTTCGGTGCTGGACAACGTTACAATAGTTTGTTTCTTGGATTGCCAAAATACGTTATTCCCAAAGAGTTTTACAATAAATCCTGTGATACTTTTTCTGTCCATAATGTCATTCGCAAAATCAGAATCAACATAACTTACTAGCGGTGGTACAGATTGTTCCTTTTCAAGGTACCTTAATACGTTTTTTAAATGTTTCCAGTGAGTAAGAGATACGTTGTTTTGAAATTTAGAAAAGAAATTCACAGCATAACAAAGGTCAGGTCTAGTCCCTAACATTAAGTACATTAGACTACTTACCTAGTAGTTCTCTGTAAGGAACATTTACATCATTCTTTACTTCAGAATCAACAGGGAGCTGCAATTTTGGTTCCACTGGAAGAGACATAACTTCACAATCAGACATATTAAAGGTATCCAATATTCGCTGTGCAAAGGCAGTTTGATTAAAAAAAAAAACAATAGTGTTTTGAGTTCTAAGAATTTCAATCCCAAGAAATTTAATCTTATCTTTCATTTCAATGAATTTCATTTGAAAATCTTGTGACAAATTTTCTTTAACGATATTAGCTGTGGCGACATTTTCATAAAATAGCAGGATGTCATCCACAGTGACCAAAATATAGGTTTTACCTTTAAAATAGAGACAGGGATCCACTTGGGATCTTACAAATTCCATCTGGATTAATTTTTCATGTAGACGATCGTACCAACATTTTGGTCCTTGTTTAAGACCATATAAGGCTCTGAGGAGCTTACAAACTTTAAAATTATTAATACCAGTTATTGCTTCGGGCGTCCCTTCTGGGAGCTTCATGTAAATTTCATCATGCAAGTCTGCATGCAAAAATGCGGTTTTTACATCCATATATATCACTTGGAGATTCTTTTCAAGGGCTATAGCAAAAAGAGTTCTTATGGTTACCATCCTCGCAACAGGAGCACAAGTATCATCTACCTCACCTTGCTGAAAACCCCTTGCAACGAGACGAGCCTTCTTTACCTGATGACCATTGACTTATTTTTCTGTGAACACCCACTTACTATCTATGACCTTCTTTCCAACAGGACGATCAACGAGTTCCCATGTCTTGTTCGTTTGAAGTGCCTGAAGTTCGTCATTGATTGCATCCTGCCAGCCGCATTGCATCGCTTCAGAATACGTTTTAGGACAGTTGTCCACCTGTACTGACAAAGCTTCAGAAAAATTGAGAATGTAGTCTTGAAATTTAACTGGAACAGTCTTCTTTCTTGAACTTTTTCTAGCCGTAGAATTTGGGTCTTGGTCATCTGAGATTTCTTCTGTTGAACTTGCATCACGTGAGGAAAGAGGTGGATCGTTGTCGATAATTGAGTCATCATTACTAGACTGGTATTGTTGTTCATGTGCGGAAGAGTTGTTTTGTACCTGTGAGTCAGCATCACAAGAGCAATCGAAGGTTGTTTCCTCCTTAACTTCACTTTCACTATTAGCATCAAGCAGTATATTGAGAGGTTGATCGATAGACTTGTCAGTATGACTAAGGTCATCTTCCTCATTGAACACAACATGTCTGCATATGGTAATGCTTTTTGTTTCAGAATTAAACAGACGATAGTTTCTATTACCTTGATAACCAACTAAAAGAAGCTTTATGCTGTGTCTATCCAACTTCTTACGTTTCTGAGAAGGAATCAGGGCATAAGCTGGAGAACCAAAAATTCTAACATGTCCAAGAGAATTCCATACCCTCCCAGACCCCTGGTAAGTGGAATTATTTTCTGCACCCATGAATCAAAAGCCATTGCGCGGCCACTATCACTGTCAACATCACATCAGGAGTGCCGAAGGCTCAGGATCACAAATCTAGCCAAATCCAGGGTGTCCGTTAGTCCGGAATTTCCGGGAAGTCCGGATATATGTAGTACTGATTTTTCAAGGGCAGTCTGGAAGTACTGAAAAGAGCGGAAATTCTGAAAGAAGGTCTAGCATGTTTTTCATTTCTTTGTCATTTTTGTGGCAATTCATGCGAGAAATTTAAATTTTGAAACTTTTTGAATTTCACTGATCGGAGGTTCTGGAAAAGTACAGAATTTTTCTGTTGAGGAGATACTGAATTTCTTGGGAATGTACTGAAAAAGCACTTTAAAAGTTCTGATTCTCGGTCAGCCAGTTTTAGTAGACACCCTGCAAACCACTGCTGAACCTTCTAGACAAGGCGCTTTGTTCACACTCAATCATATTTTTAATGGAAATTTATTTGTAATGAATTATCAACAATGGAATTGCATAAGTGTGTATTTTGATTGCGGTGTTTCAAAATCTCCGCGTTTTCTTCATTTTTTTAAAGGAGACTGAACGAACATCATGACTTGACATTTTGGCTGAATATTCTTCACTTAGCAAAGGAAAATAAACTAATTTTTCCAAAAATTACGTCTGGAATGTTCCTATTTTGAAAAGAAGAAAAGACTATTTGGGAAGTCTGAAGTGTAGTAAATGCTTTCATGCAATTTCACCGTTGATGTGCGTTAAATCTAATTTATGAGTGCTCACTGAACCTCTTCTCAATTATGAAACCCATGCAAGAACTTTTGGGGGAAACATCAGGATCATTCTGGTGAATTGAGACAGCCTGACAAGAGTAAGACAGTGTCCATGTCTCGATGTTCTTGAGGGGTTATTTCGAAGATTGCTTCTGCCAGGGAAAGACATAGTACTACCCTAAGATCATTATTTTGCAGGAGTTATAAACAAATTAAGAAGTATGAAGAAAATGTACCTAACTGCTGTAGTAGTCAGGAGTAAAAAGGGTGTTAGGTCACTGGGACTTGAACTGCTACAATTTGTGTAGCATAGCTCTATCGAGAAAATGATTGGACTCCTAACTCGGTTTGTTTGGATCTTTTTATAAGTTTAAACTAAATTTCAAAACTCAGAGCTGCAATACAGACTCTATAACAAAGGCCGAAGCAGACAAAAAAAGCATAACTCAGTGGAATCTTCCCAAGCACTATTGACACTGGACCTTAGGGATGGAAACTCCTGTCCAATGTGCAGGTGATCACCCTGAGTCGAAACTCAAGGAAATTGAACCAAGGTATCTCCAGTCATTGCGATGACGCGTGGGCCAACTTACAGAACTCAAAACTCATGTAAAACCGCAGAGGCTGTGTGTCTCGAAATGCTGAGATTGTTACCGCTGGTAGCCATTGAGGATTCAATTTTCTCAGAAATTGTAGTTCTTTATTGCAGTAAAATTATGTATTTTACCATAATGAGCAGGAAAAAGTAGATTTTCCAATACAGTCCAGTGTAATTGATTATAAGACTTGAAATTTTATGATGCCTCTATATTTGGGTATTTTTAACATTTAAGTATCCTTAGAGCCTCCAATCAAAATCTCTAAATTCAAACTTTTTTCATTACTACAGTTGAATTTTATCAAGCTTTTGTTATAGCTACCGATAATTACAATTGGCCCTAATTTTTACTTATGACAAAATAAATGTGTTTATGTTTATACAATCACTAAAGCGGAGGTACAAAGTCAAGCGTCCCCCTTTTGCGAGATGCATCCATTCATGGAAACAATTGAATTTGAATCAGGCCAAATATTGTGATCATTCTTTAACTGACAATCACTATCCGTACTTAATCACTAGACAAGGCCCAAACTGGAAATAAGCATCATTTTTTTTCTCTTCAAAATTTTATTTAGAAAACAAGGACAGGAACAGTACAGTAGGTAACAGGAAGTTAGGAAGTAAGCTTCTGAATGAGTTATTAACAAGTATTTTAAACTTAGATTGAATGAAAGTTTGATGACACAAATGATGTCATTTGCGTTTTTGCCATTTAACCAATAAATTGTAAACATTCAAATCGTGTTTAGGAATTGATTTCCAGATTACCCATTGTGTGATTCGTATTCCTCGTGCAACTTTGAAAAGAAAATACGTTGCTTAGCTGCCTAGCTGAGTATAAACGCCACATGAGCATTCGAATGATACCAAATTTCTTCTCAGAATATATTTAGTTTTGAAGAAAGTTATGAATGTTTTTTCTTGAAAATGTCATACTTTTTAGATAAAATAAAAAACAAAATTCTATGAAAAATAGGAAGAGAACTATTTATAAAGAACCCCTCACAGTCCTTATGGGAAATGGCTCTCTCTACAATCTGATGAAACTTGAATATGTTGCTCAGCTAGTCATTCTGATCAAAAGTTCTCTTGGGCCGAAAGAGATCCCACGAGCGGTTTCCAAGATATTCGCCATTTTAGGACTTCTGAATTTGAGCAACATCCAATAACATTGTGGCGAGTTAATTTTTAACTAAATAAAACCACCTGGAAATGCTGAAGTGTTTTTTTAATTTCTTGTTGATAAATTCTTAAATTTTAAAAAAAAAAAAATTTTCTGTTCCAGAGTACTTACTAATCAGAATGAATAAAGAACCAATGGTATGTATCAAAGCGTTCAATTAAAGATAATGAATATTTAGCTGCAAAATGTCAAGCTTGGGTCATTCCATGCCAAATCAAATTAAAATTTGACCCGACACCTTTAGAATTTGATGAAATTTGGTACACTCACTCTACTCATTGAGCTGTTTTTCAAAAATCTGATTTTTTAATGTTCTTGTTTATTGGTTGAACTTTTGTTGAGCTGTAAAGTTCCAGTAAAATAACGGAGGTTATCCCCTTCAATTGCCTGTATTTTCGGAGCCGTTTATTCGATTTTAACCGTTCTGGTGCCGATTGAAAGCTTTTGAAACGGGTTTTCCACGTATGTACACCAAATTTGAATACATCTTTATAAGTTGTTTTAATAAAAATTTTAAAGTCTAAAATTGAAGTATCGCCATAAGGGACGCATAGAATCCTACCATTTATTTTTCAGAGGTACGTCATACCTGTGTATACATACGACTTGCCGTAAATCAAAGTGGAGACTTGGTGGAGTCAATAGATATGGCCAAAAAAGCTGCATTTTTTCCGGTGCGCTAGCGCAATGGGTGATGAAAGCGGCTCGGAGCTGCGGCGTTTCGAGAATCATTCCCAGAAGTTCCCAGTATCTACACGGGTTCTTGGAACACCAGCGGCTCGGAACCGCTTTCGTCACCCATTGCGCTAGCGCACCGGAAAAAATGCAGCTTTTTCTGCCATATCTATTGACTCCACCAAGTCTTCACTTTGATTTACGGCAAGTGTGTATACACAGGTATGACATACCTCTGAAAAATAAATCGTAGGATTCTGTGCGCCCCTTATGGCGATACTTTAATTTTAGACTTTAAAATTTTTACTAAAAAAACTTATAAAGTTGTATTCAAATTTGGTGTACATACGTGGAAAACCCGTTTCAAAAGCTTTCAATCGGCACCAGAACGGTTAAAATCGAATAAACGGCTCCGAAAATACAGGCAATTGAAGGGGATAGCCTCCGTTATTTTACTCGAACTTTAAAGCTCAACAAAAGTTCAACCAATGGACAAAAACATTAAAAAATCAGATTTTTGGAATCAGCTCAATGAGTAGAGTGAGTGTACCAAATTTCATCAAATTCTAAAGATGTCAGGTCATATTTTGATTTGGCATGGAATGACCCAGTTTGTTCAATCATCAGTTGGTTGGGCCAATAGTGGGGTTGCTTTATATCTAATGGCTCCATTTTAGGTCACACCTATCTCAATATTTCTATCAGAATTTTCACTAATAAAAATTGATGAAATTCTCAACTGATGAAGTCTAGATACTATCCTAGGTAAGTTCTTTTATCAAAATATATCACTCTTTAAATTTATAATGCAGAACCAGTTGTACATCTATCACGTCCATCACTCCTAAGATATTTGCAGTATTTCGTACGTAGGCCAATTTTCGCCGAAAAGTTGTAAGCCTACTCAAGGAGTTTCATCTATATCCCAGCTTTTCTGTATCATGATCATGATCTCTATTGCTCAAAATTCAGAATAAAATGCTGTGATGGGTGTGTCAGAAATTTCTAAGACTTTTTGGATACTTACAATTAAGTCTTATGTTTGTGGCTAAATTCTGCCTATAAGTACCTATTTCTGAGAAAATTTAAAAAAACAGTTTTCTGACCAAGTTCAGCCTTCTCTGGAATGGCCCTATTTATAATTTATGAAAGAAATGAAACTACTCAATACGTTGAAATCAGTGGACTACTACATAAGGTGAGAATTCAAGCAGTGTGACACATGCTCTCTCATCATAATTTCACGTTAAACATAATTTGTGCAACGAAAATGATTGAACTGCTCATCAAATGAACTATAATCTTCTGCAGTGTGAAAATATGGTGCCAATCCTGGCGCTTTGCGTGAGCTGTAGCATATTATTTTGACCGTGAGTGACACAGGAGGAGGAAGGAGCATGGCTGAATTAAAAAACCTGCCAAAACTTGTTGTAATGAGCAATTTGATTCATGTAGGATCTGGTATTTTTTTCAGAGTGAAATTCAAATTTTTTGTAACCACTGTTAAGTAAAAGCATTAAAATCTTGGTCAGGAATTAATATTAGTAATTTCAAATGTCTATATCGTGTTCCATATGAAATTTTGAAGAGAAAACCTGTATCAGAACGCTTGAATTTGTACCTTCCTCAAAGGTCCATTCTCAAATAATTTTAAGTGTGAACTCATTTTTTTTCTATTTGACATGAATTGTACTTAATACATGTTATTGATTCCTTTTTTATCCCTTCTATTTTCTAGGCAATGCCAATTTCACCAACTTCGCAGGAGACAAGTTTCTCCAACTTGTTAGAAGACGTGGACCAAGTCAAGACACACCTCGATTTACTTGGACTGCCGTACAACCCCAATTTAATCGCAAATATTTTATTAGATTATGATAATGATAATGATCGAGTGAATCTAGCTATTAACAAAATAATAGATGAGCCACCTGATGTGGAAATAACGTTTGAAAAGAACTCGCCAGATAAAACATCAAAATCTAAAGCTCAAAAAACTGCCCTTAGTGTTGATTTGACTGGAGAGACTTCGGCATCGAAAGATACCAAAGGGATCTTAAACTTATTCGATCAAGATCAACCATCACCATGTAAAATATTAAAATCTACAAATCCCGAAGAAAACCCTTTTCTATGTGATCATCGTAAAAATAACTTATTCAAGTCTGAAAACTCGCCAGAAGTGCCGCTTGCCTCCACTTCATACGATTCAACCGATCCTGTCATTAACATTTCTGACATAGAAGAGTTTTTGAATAGTAAAGAGCCCTTACCAACACCCAAAATAAATGGTGATCATTTGAGCTCTTTAAATTACGGCCTGGAGAAATTGAAAACGCGTTTAGATAAATTGAAAAATAATGTACATGAATATGAATTTAAGGAGAAAAAACTAACTGAAAAAGTACTTAAAACTGCAACTGATTTGGCAAATGAAGATTTGAAAACAGGCATAATTTCACCACTACATCAAAACATTTCTGAAAAACCAGAACAAGTCAGCTTACCCTTTGATGCTCACCCTTTTGATGAATATGATGAATATGAAGACTGTGATTTTTCCAAAGTTGAGGAGGTCACCTCACAACTTGTCAACTCTGTAGACAGGAGCCTGTGTGCTCCCCAAAGCTCGCTTCCATCAGCATCATCAAGTGACTCCGTTACTAAATTAGTTGGTCTCAGTGGCAATTTTGACAAAATTGGTACATTCACCGGCGGTGATAGCTTTTTCAAACGTTTGAAAAAGCCATCTAGCACCGAAACATCTGGGTCAAGCTCATTAAGCTGCAATAACAATTCAACGGAGTTAGAAGAGTTTGATAACTTTTTAGATTCATTTTTAGTAAAGAACCTAACATCATCTCAACGAACGAATCCTTCAACTTCACAAGCATCAACATCTATTTCAAATCCATGGCAGGGGAATTTTCAGCCCACTTCGGAGGAACTGGCTGTTATTGATGAAGTTGTTGCTGTTGCTTGTTCGCCAGAAAAGATCATCATGACAGATGAAGAATTAAAAAAGCAAATCGAACCAACAAAAAATGTCAAAAAACCTATACCAGCCACCACCTCTAGTGAAATAGAAGTGATACCTTGTGAACCGTCAACAAGTGGCCCCTCCTTCAGCAGAATGGAAGTGATACAAAATAAACCATCAACGAGCGGCTCCTGTGGATCATCTCGTCGAACTAATCGAACAAGTAGTAAAACTCACTCATCATCCCCTAAAAAGGCCACTGAACCTATGCCCATGTATTTGGCAAACCTGATGGAAATATTTCCAGAAGCTGATACTGATTATCTCCGTAATCTGTGCAAGAGCGCAAATGACAAAAAGAAATTTCCCAATAAAGATGAAATCCTTCAAACTCTCATCGAAACTGTAATAAGAGATGAATCTTATCCCAAAAGAACCTTGCCCCGATTCGAGGACAAACCTGCAAAAGATTTGTCTCTTAATGAGAAGTACCAGAACATTATCGCCATCATTCCTAATGTTGATCCGGAATTTTTGGAAAACAAATGCAAAGAACTTACCAATGATGAAATTTACAGTGCGTTTGTGGATGAATTATTAACAAGAAAAAATTATCCAACAATTCAGGATTATGAAAGAAGGAAAGAGACTGAAAAGGCAATCCAAGCTTACACAGATCTTTTCACCATTGCTGGATTCTTGGAAGTTTTCCCCGATCCCGAGGATTATTTTCTAAATAAGAAGGCCAGTTCTCATCATGAACTTTCTCTAACGTTTCTCAAAGATAGGTTAGTAAAATGTTTACTTTGTCCTTTTTACAGTCACAAAATGTCAATATCTTCAGCTCTGCTGGAATACTCTATAAAATCAGGAAATTTCACTGAACTGTTGATAATAATCAGGGTTTGGTTCAAACCTAAGAAATTTTCCCTCCTAGAATCAAATATGCAAATTACATATTTTTGCATTTCGCAAGACTTTGGAGTGAAAATTTCTCATGTAAAACATCATTACACCTCATGTCATCAACAAGTCGAAGAAATTGAATGTTCAAAAATTGAGAAGTTGGGGAATCATGAAACAGGCATCTATAAAATGTAGGATTGCAGGATTCTCCATTCTGGGTCTTGATAAGGGGGGCTCAGATAGTTAGGACAGCCACTCAGTCCATGCGCACTGTTTATCTTTTTGCAAAATTCAAGTTAGCTGAAAAACTGTTCCATTCACATTCAGTGGACACTTTCTCCCTTCTTGTATCATTCTTTACAAATAAGGGAAACTTAAGAGAGTAATTCACAAAAGATCCCAGTGATTTAGGAAGGAAGCAATTTTTTGTGCCTAAGTCATTAAATCGAAGGAAACTTTTTAACCTTTTAACCTTGAATTATCTTAGATTCTTGTCCAAGATTCTGATGAATGAAGGAAGTAAATGAAAAGACGGTACGCAATACCAAGATATTCAGCCTTGGCTTTTCAATATTTGAAGGTATGATGTGCCTTACGACCTCCTGAACACAATGAGCTTTTAAAATCTAACTTTTTATGTGCCAATCTTAAGAAAATTCGGTTTGTAAAATGCTTTTTTCGTTAATTTGACGTGTGTCAGCATATCAGCATATGGAGAAGTGGCACTACCACTGAGTTGTAGATGCGGAGTCTTTTGTTCTGAACTGAGTTGTCACGTTGGATTATCTTCCCGGCCAGCAGGAGACTAGGAAGAAGGGTGCTTGCTCTTGATCAACTACATTTCCCACTCTATAACGTGCGTGTAACTGCTGAAAAATACTATTTTCAGTCCTGATTCTGTGGAGGTATCAGAGAGTCTGATTTTAAAAGCTCCTCTTAATCCGAAGATTGTAAAGAACATGATCTCATTAAATCTCAAAATTTAGCCGGTGCTGAATTTCTTGATATTGTATGCGGTGTCCTATATTAGAAAAATGGAAGCATTGATAAAGTTGAACAAAATTTGTCCCAAAGTTTGTATTCCAAAAGAGCGGACTTCAAAAACCTAGACTCCAAGGAAATGAAAAAATCAGAAAAACAGCTAATTTAAGTTAGCAGCGAAAACCTTGAAAAGTACAAAGATCTTGAGAAAAAGTGTTTTGGTTTTTGTTTTCTTTTATTTTACATTTACAATTGAACAAATTAACATGGACATCTGGAGCCTGCTTTAGTCTTTACAAATTTGTTTTTATCATCAAATAATCAAATATATTTATGGGCTCTCCTAAGATTTCAAAACACTGAAAGGTTTTACTGATTTTACTAGCTCCAATTGAGACTGTGAAGAGCAATTGACTTGTTTAATTTACAAAAGCAATCAAAGAAATCTTTAAGAATTTCAGTAGAATAGAGAAAAATTGAGAAAACCTAAACTGTGTGACTTACATTAGTAATTTTTAGTACTTTTCAGTAATACTAGTCAGAAACTGGAAGAACTGCTTTATGAAAGGGTTGTAATGCTAAGTTTTGTCTTTTCCCCGGTCATGTAAAACATGAAAAATGTTATGAACTTCACAAATTCAATTTTCATTAGGATATTGATTTAAATTGTTTTATTAACCATGACTACCATTGGACTAAGAACAGCTCAACAGTCACATTATGTATGTAGATTTTGGAAAAGTCGCACCAATCCTTTGACACCACATCCCAGCATATTACTTACGATCCTCCAGAATTCAACTGTATTCATTTGTTTTGCCCAAAATTAATTCTTCTCCACTCCATGGATTGCCAACAGGTATAAACTTCTGCGAGCAACAGACATTGCAAAATATTATAAGGCAGCTAATTCAAACCTTACTCGAACTTGCTTGCAACTTGATAGTTACAATGGTCCTAGGCGAGCAACCAAGAGAAGCGCAGGAGAGTGCAGATGGCCACCCAAAACAGATGTAAATTTTCTTCAGGAAGTAAGTGAAAATGTTCTACAATTTTTTTCGTTCAATCTAGCCTTTTGTCTTCAATGTGGCTTTTTAAAAAAGAAAAAAAAAGAAGAAAAAAAACATTCGGGATCATGCCATACCAAGTCAGGCCAAGGAAGGGATGTTGCTGACTTAGGTACTTACTCAGAATTAGATGAAATTCGGTTCCCTCACTGCCTGCATAAAGTATAATTAATTTTGTTCGTTTTTTTTTTAACATTTTGGCACTCCATTCAAATCTGAACATATTTTGAAAACGAGAAAATTGCCCCTTTTCCGGGAAATCAGCCTCTTTGAATGACCATATCTTAGGAAGTATTTGCCCCAAAGGGACTGTCTTATTTTGCTTAAAATCTGCGCTCATTAATGTTCACCTCCAGTCATTAAAGATTGTATTTGGATCATAAATTTAAAAAAAAAAAAAAATTAAAATGTAAGGAACGCAAAAAAATGATATTTTAAAATCTGTTGAAATTCCCAGGGAATCAGTTGTATCAGCAACATTCGATTAATACTTCAATATCTGCTCAAATAATCTTTGAATGTATGTACTTGAATATCTATGCCTTCAAAAATGGTTTAAAATGTGGACAGCTTTCAACTAAGAAGCTGAGATTTCTAACTCCGAAGCTTTTGAAGCTTTAACAGAGAAAACAATCTAGATAGCTAATCTGCTGCCTGTAGCTTTGTGACAAAACTTCTAATTCTATCTTTGTCCATTTTCTTTTTCTTGCCTATAGATTTCGTATATAAATCATAAACAACAAATCAAGGACTATATCGAGCAAAAAAAGAAAGACAGAGAAGAAGCTTTTCGGAAGGTAAGCCTCTAAATTTGTTAGCACCTGCATACAGGCTCAACTTAAATCATTCCTACGACATCAAGACAAGTCTGAGGGCCTGGCATTTGATAGCTGGAAAAATTCTCGACTTTAGGGCCACCAAACTCCCAACCAAAGTGTAATATTTTATATACAGGTGGTCTGAATTTTGCTAATGGAACACGTTATGTAGTCTTTGGGTGTTCATCTCCAGAAATTTGTCGAAAAGTTTTTTGATCACTGTTGACTTTCCAAATTTACACAAAAACTTTCCCTAAAGAATTAATTTGTATACTCTCTCAACACTCATATTGAATGATGAAGAGGAGTCTCAAAAAATCAAAAAAGAGGAGAATTTCTTTGAATTTTCTCAGTCCGAATACAAGACAGCAATCGCGTGGCGGATACCTAGGAAAATTGTATCCTGACCAATAATTGGGATATCTGACCCACCACCAGAAGTTAGTGCATTCCAGATCTTGTGGCGAACGAGGAGTACATATCTATTGACAAGGGCTATTTTTGTAAACATCCTCAAAGATTTTGATCGCCAGGTTTTTATTTAGGGTTTTAAAAAAAAAATCCAATGATGTTAGATGGTTTTTCATGAATTTGCAATATCAAGGTCTGGAATTAAATGCTGCTAGCGTGGTGTCATGTTTGTTCTCTATAACAACATGTAAACTTTCATTACCTTCATCTCTGTTTGCCATTTTCTTTTTAGTCAAGATGAATTAATCAAAAATTTAATTTACAGGCTAAAGAAAACAATGAGCTCTTCACTTGCAGTTGCTGCTTTGAGGATGAAGTAATGAAAGATGATGTCATAACATGTCCTGAAGGGCACGTTTTTTGCAGCGAGTGTGTAAGAAGGTGAGTTACTCTGCCAAGTCTTAATTAAAATTATGCAGAGCTTACATCGTTCCGAGCATATTTATTATCATACAGGGTATTTCGAAAGTCCTACACCAACCTCCTAGGTTTCTTTCCCCTTCTGAAGGTGATCCCCTTAAAGATTTGGGGGTTTCCTAAAGGTGTCTTCTTTGACCTAGATACACTCTGAAATTTTCAAGTCCATCTCAATTCGTCAAAACGTTACAGGGGTGATGCCTGGTGCTGATGGTGCGATTCTTTTGGATCACCCTAAAAGCTAAATAATTTCTCGGTGACAAGCTAATTCTATTTTACTGTAGATCTTTCCATTCTTAAATTTAAGTTAGCCATGAGCCATTTTTTCATTCACTTTTTTAATCTAATGCATGAGAGGAATCAAAATGAAAGAACTGTCATAGTTTTTCTCAAAACTGATGTAAGCCTGGGATATTTCAGATGCAATATCAAATTACTGTAGGCAGTAATTTTCCTCCAACTTTGCGTTTTGTCTTACTGCTGGATACTGGTGCATAAAAATTGGGCTGTGGAAAATTATGATGAAATAAAATGGATTTAAAACTAAAAGAAGAGTTTTAACATCATGAAACCGATACATACCTGTACGCCTTAAAAAATTGCTTTTTGACATAACTGCAGTAAAGTTTCAAAAATTTTATAAATTGGTGTATGAGCTGACTACTGTCCGTTCGGAGGGAAACAAATTTTTATTAATTTTATCCCTTGAATACGTGCCTGATATGGTAATGTATGGAGAAACAAGGTTTACATCCTAAACAAAAGAAGAAGTAGAAAAAAAAGAAGAATAGTAATGTGGGAACTTGTGATTCTCTTCTTCTTGACACCCAGTTGGCTTATCTTAGAATCAATTTATGTTAACTCTTTCAATTTTGCTATTGTCCATTTGTAACCCATGAAGTGTCTGCAGTCAGGAGAAGAATGGTCTGAAAAGTAATGTTTGAGCTTGGAGATGATTGGGGGACTTCCTAATAGAAAGCGATTGGGGGACTTCCTAATAGAAAGCAATGTGTTCCAACAGCTATATCGTCATAACTAAAAATTTGTTTCTTGCATAAAGAAACCTCTCAGACAAGAAAAGTAACTGTTTTTTCTTTCAGGTGCAAATGTAAGTATTATAACACTGGGGTGTCCATGGATCTGAAAAACCAGGAATTTCAATAGGCCAGGGAATTCAGGGATAACTCCGGAATTATACAGAATTGAAACTTATCCCTAAAAAAGCATCATGCTGTATACACAATTAAATTGAGGCTCAATCTGGTTTATTTTTATTTTTTACAGTACAAAGTTCGGACAAATGAGCGGAATTAGCTATTGTATAGGTCAAAGATGGTTTGGGGTCCAATGCATGGATTTACATTTCGAACTGTGTACGGAAGATCAAATTTTAATAAGCAATTGCAAGTAAATTTAATTGAATGATTAATATCTGCAGTAAAGAGGGTCACTTGCTTTTGTCATTTTTAGTGAGATAAGTGCCAAAAATGTTTCATTTTCAGTTCCACATACCCGAATTTTCAATGTGAAAAGTCAGGGAATTTCTTCCTGACAAATCTGTAGACATCCTCACAATGAACCTGTAACTTTGTGCTGAAATTCACCTCCATTTATCACTTTGTTGGTAGTGATGCTGAGCGTTTAGACTTTGTGGCAAGACTAGTGGTAATGGAGCAAAATCGACCTTTTGGGTGTTAACCCAGAGCTCCAACTTTAAACAAAAGGAATTCAATTAGAGCTAAGAGTATACTAAATTGAATAGTGTATATTGATTTTTCTGATCATCACTAGTTTTACCTAGAGGCCTTTTATAGAGAGAGTTGAGACACCGCCTTTTATTGAGAGCTGGTGAATGTCACCAGCTGCGGGAAAAAAGATCACACAAATCGGACGTTAGCTGTAATCTTTGATCAACCCATTCCCGAATTCCTGTCTTCGTTCCCACTTTCATTTCATTTGCTCCTTGCCATACCTCCTATTTCCGGTCCATTTCAGTTTATAATCTTTGCAATTGGTGAAACTGAAATCTTTATTCCTGTTTGTGACACTGTGAAGGCCTAAAATACAGGAACCAATCAGAAATGGATTCGCCTTGTCTTCACTCTCAGGGTAAAGGGACTCTAGTTTTACCAACAAAAAAAATCAAAGCCATTTTATCTTTCATGATGCCCTCGATACATATTCTGTGTCTTGAAAATTGTCCTGATAGTATGATAAAATGCTGTTTTCTCACTGTTTGCTTCCAGGAGTGGAGAGATTAAACTTGGGGAGAGAAAAGCTAAAGTCGAATGCATGGAAGGAAGTTGTGAGGCTGAATTCTCATTGAAAGACTTGCAGGTTAGCTCTTTTATTATGAAGTGTATCAATCCTTTTATTGTATCAATCCTTTTATTTTATGAGGGTGGTCCAGGAAGAAAGTTTACCTGTTTAAAATCTCCTAAACTAAGATAGATAGAGAGAATCAATGAAAAGCCGCTACTTTCAGCTCTGAACGTGCTATAGATTTATAAATTTGGTTCAATAGAACTCTTGGAAAGTGGATTTTTCTGAGCTCATCTCCTCTCCGCGTGGGTCCAAAAATTTTACGGAGTGTCACCTGCAAGGAAGCTGATGCGTCGGTTGCTTATGGCAGGAGAGTGACTTGGTAATGCTTGAATTTCATGTAAAACCTGAGAAAGTACATGTTTCTACAAACTAAGAAACTAAAGACTAGGAAATTACAAGATTGATTGCCTTTACTTCAATAATTAGTGAGTTTGACCCGCAGTACATAGAAAGGTTAAGTTGTACTTAAAAAATCATCGAGTTGCGCTGCTGAATTTGGTTTTGGTGTGAGAATTTCCCACTATTATTCTTTGTCTCGCCAAGAAAGGTGGCCGTAGCTGTTCAAATTCAGGATTATTTACATTAAAGTTGTTGTAAAGGCTGCATATTTTTCCAAATGATGCATTTTTGAATTCTTTGACATTTCCTCTTGTTAAGGCGGGATAATGTGAAGGCTTGTGAACAATTCAGTCAGAAAGTATGAGTCAACGTTGACAATTCGGTTGACTTTTGCTCCGATGCAACTGATATTGAATAAACATGTCAATCTTGCTATTTTCTACCTAATAAACGCCTTTCCGTATGTATTACGTGATTTTCAACCATCTCTAAGTCACTTTCTTACTCTATAAGTGGTAGACAAAGCAGCTCACTTGCTGATAACACCATGAAATTTTGAACCTGCTTGGAAAGTAGGTGTGTTCAGAAACCTCCTCTATTACAGCTTTATTGAACAAAATTTAAAAGTTCATGGCGCGTCAAAAAGCTGAGAAGCGTGGCTTTTTAACTCTTTTTACAGATTTTCTTCATCTAGCATGGTTTTGGAGAGGAGGTGAACTTATTTTCTGGATGACCCTTTTATATTTAATATACAATTCCTTGTCACCTGATTCTTTTCAGAGTTACTCCCAGGACTATTCCCATTTACCTGTCAACATGTTAACTTGTTAATCACTGTTGATTACTACTGTGTCTTGTGTCAGAAAAAATCAGGAAACTGTAAAATGTTATAAAATTTGCTTTTGGCAGGACAGTGCAAAGTCAAGAACAATGCAATTGTCGCATCATTCAATGCATTTATGTTGCATATCTTGCATCATGATGCTTTAACTCACATTGGGAAGTGGCCAAGTAGGGATCAAGACAGGAATTATGTCAGCACATAGCTTGTCATCTATGTATTACAATGTGACATTGTTACACAAGCAAAGTATGTAGTATCTTGAACATGCAGATGAGCGTTTTTTCAATTTAATTATTTTTATTTAAGATTGTTTTATTATTAATGTCAGGAAAGGATTTTGCTTGGAAAACCAAAGGAACCGCAGTGGCTGAATTTTGCTCTTCTTTGATAGAATGTTCTCTATAACCTCCTCAACATTATGAGCATTTAAAACAGCACGTATATCTATACGAATCTATGTTGCCCATTTTTTGCAATTACCCCTAGCATGGGACCACAAATCCCCCCCCCCTTTTTTTTTGAGGACACGGAATTCATTTTTAAAGTTTATATTGTATACTCCAGATTTGCACTGTACAAATGGATATCCATCACGTCATTTTAATGTCACTATCATGTCAGTCCCAAGTGTTCACCATAATTGTTTTTTCTTTCTTTTTTTCTCATTCATATGTTCCTTTTATTAATTGTACGTATTAATTTTTATTTCATTATTCTGCTTTTACTTACAGAAAGTCCTAGCACCAAATGCTTTTTCAAAATTTGTAAAAATTAAGCAAACGGAGGAAATCAAAGCAGCCGGTATTGAAGGACTGGTTTCTTGTCCGTTCTGTGAATTCGCTAGTATTCCACCACCAGAAGATAAAATATTCAAGTGCCAGAATACAGATTGTATGAAAGAGTCTTGTAGGCTGTGCAATCTGGAATCTCACATTCCACTTCGGTGTGATGAAGTTGAAAGGGACGCCGACGTGAAGGCAAGGCTATTAATAGAAGAGAAAATGACCGAAGCATTAGCTAGGTAAATTGATTTAAATTTTTCAGCAATTTGTCAAAATAATTTCAACCCTGTGAAGCTCTTTGCTTATTTTGTTTGCTTCTGATCAAGGCTTTTCATTTAGGACTTAAATGTGTCTGATAAATTTTCACAGTTTGTTTATTTTTGGACCTCAAAATAATAAAAGGATCTGAGGAATTAAAAGATTTGTAATCTTTTAGGAACACTGGAACTCGGGGAAAGAAATCTATGAGAACGCTACAGCTAATATAATTTCTAAGATCTATTTTTCCCTGCATGGTGAAGGAAAATATAATATAACTGAAGTATTTTCATCCTTATTTCGTTTTCTGACAGTTTCTTACTGTTACTCTTTCTTTTAAGACCAGGAAAAAGCCTTTGATTATAAATGCGGCCATCATTAAAACAAATACTCATGGGACATAGCAACCTGAACTTTTTAATATCTCCTTCTTTCAGGTCATGATTTATTTTTCTCATCCTGAGATTCACGTCTCATTCGTTGCAATTCTTATTGCAGAGTTGCCAAAGTCAGGAAATACATACCAGGAAAACGAGGAAATATCAGGGAATTTTAAAAGCCAGGGAAAACCTGGAAATGTCAGGGAAAATGACAAATGTGTTGTTGTGGGGTCGATGAGTGTAACAATCATACTTTTCTGGATGAAAGCATGAAATTTTCAGGGATTCATCTCTACCCTGTAGACATTCGATTTAGACATAGATCCCAAAAATCTGAACCCGTAGAGGGGCCCCCAAATTTTAAATTTTGAATAACCTCTGAGCAGTCAATGTTAGTGTAATTTTGTTACACCAGGAGGATGAGGAATTTTATTAGGAACAAAATTGGTTCTAATGAATTTTTCTGTAGGATCAATATTTGAGGCGCGAAACAGGAAAAACTGTGTCTCCCTTTTTCGTCATAATCCAATATAATACGTGCTATAAGTAAAACAAAAACTTGACCAATTGTTCTTCAACAGTATCAACCAATGTTGAAACCTCGGAAGGCACCGGTGCCGAAGCCGCCCAAATGATTTAAGGGTGATATAGGCTAGCAGGAGCTGCCCCCGCCCCCCCTCTTCCTCACTTTATAGAGGCAAGATTGTAACCCTGTACTGCAAAATTAGCACCGAGGATGTCGTCTTGATGTTTGAGATATGGTCACATCCATTTTTCTTTTTTTAATATCCTCATTTTTTACAAAATTGGGTGCCTTGTCTTAAAAGTCTGGAAGCCGTCTCCTGAGAACTTTCGAGTATGTAAGCATGTTTAGATACCATTCTGGTGACGCAGCTCCGGTGAAAAACAAGAAAAAGAACACTTTAAAATAATTTTTTCTGGTTATCGTAGTCTACAAGGAAGATTTGTGACTCTTAGCCCCCCCTCTCCCCCTTAAGACAACTGCACGTCAGATTTTATTCCGTTCGATTGATGTCTGATACAGTTATCACGTATGGTCTAATAAACCTCAACAAATCCACTCAACAAAACAATCCAAAACTTCAGCTTTTAACCCCTACTGTTGCCGTGCGCTCGCCTGTATACATATGTAACCTACAAGAGTTAAGCCCTATTTTAAAGGTATTTAGTTAATACATTATATTAATAATTATTTTTAAAACTGCTCATCTTAGAGATGAAAAAAGACAAGCAGTTGTTTCATTGGTAACATTGTATGCTGCACCGCCGCGCGCCGTGCGCTTCCCAAGGCAGGCAGTGCAGCGCGCAGATTTGCCTCAGAACAGCCGACTCCCCGTCCTCCGATGGTTTCTCCCGTTTCACGCCCTAAATATCGATCCTACAGAAAAATTCATAAGAACCAATTTTGTTCCTAATAAAATTTCCCATTGCCTTGTAAAAAAATTACACTAACATTGACTGCTCAGAGGTTATTCAAAATTCAAAATTTCGGGGCCCCCCTGGGAGCTCAGATTTTTGGGGTCTATTTCTAAATCGAATGTCTATAGGGTAGAGATGAATCCCTGAAAATTTCATGCTTTCTTCCAGAAGTGCACGATTCTTATGATATTTTCCAGTTTTTGGGCCCACTAATGGGGGAAAATTGTCAAGTCAATTTTATTTGGTTTCTAAAATGGGTTTAATGTTTCAAGCAAGTAATTATGTGAGAAAACTAGTTCAAATTATGTCTTAATAACGATCTTGCATATCCTTAATTGTCAGGAAATTCTTTCAAAATGTGACAGAGAAATCAGGAAATTATCAGGGAATTTCATTTTCTAAACTTTTTTGCAATCCTGTTATTTAATCATTCAATCTATCAATCATTTCATCGTCCTGTCTATCAATCATTTTTGCACTCCTAAACTCATGAATTTGAATAACTTTTTTGATTGTTTTGAGCGAATTATAATTTTGCCTGTATCCATCTGTGAGCGGACATCAATGTAATGTGGATTGTAATTTTTTCAGAGAATGCTACAACTGTAAAGCTAAATTTATCAAAGAAGATGGTTGTAATAAAATGACATGTGGTCATTGTGGTAAATTGAGCTGCTACATTTGTCGGCAACCAGTGACCGATTATTCACATTTTAACGGTGATGGTGGTGACAGAGTAGATAAGTAAGTGATATGTTTTCTTTTCTTTTCTTTTATTTTCTTTAATGTCATTAAAGCTAACCATTTTTTCCGGCAGCAAATCATGAACAGTATAAAATTTCCCAGAAACCATCTCACATTCATGCTTTTAAACGAGTCTTGACTTTGGCCTGACCATAAGTGACGTAAGACCCGTAGGAAAGAAGAAAGGAACTCAAAAGATGCCGTGTAGGGGGAGAGTAAATTAAAATGTCACTACCTCACCTTGTCATAGTACCTCCTATCACTACCTCCTGTAAGACAAAATGCCCTATTACTAGAGGAAAGAAAATACTTTTTTCTCCTGAAAACTGCATAAAATTCATGCGAAGTGAATCAACAACAAATTTATCCATACAGATGGCTGAAGAAATTAGCTTCTAAATGATATTTTTTCTAATGTAAATGTTATTCCTTTTTTTATTATAGTACCAGTTTTTATTTTTAATAATTAATACTGATTAATTTAACATATACTTAAAGCAAGTTGAACCCATTAGTGATACCTTAAACAGAACCAATTTTTTCTACATTATCTAAAAATGTCTACGCTAATTCCAATTGAGTAAGGGGGAGGAGTCAGATCAGCCATGGGTAATTATCCACAGAAGTCCAAGCTTACCTTAAGCCAGAATTTCCTCCAAATGCTTATCGGCGTGGGTCGGTAGCGCTCAACGCCAATGGAGATGTCGCATGTGTGAGGGATTTGCGATTTGACAATTGATTCTAATGTAAAAGTTTGCAAGAAACACAATGACACCATTGGTTTTCCTTAAAATCAACTCTCAAGCTCAAAAAAGCTCTCAAGTTGAGGCCAAAATGGAGGGGATATCCCACGCTATCCCGAGAGTCCTCCTCTACATCAAGACAAACTCTCCATGCAAAGATAGGGATCAAATGCATTGACAGAGTTGCCGTGATTTCAGTTTTATAGTCCCCAAATAAGGTGGCAGCCCTGTCAATGTATTTGCTCCCTATCTTTGCATGGAGAGTTTGTCTTGATGTAGAGATGGACTCTCAGGATAGCGTGAGATATCCCTTCCATTTTGGCCTCAACTTGAGAGCTTTTATTGAGCTTGGGAGTTGATTTCAGAGAAAACCAGTGGCACCATTGTGTTTCTTGCAAACTTGTACATAAGAATCAATTGTCAAATCGCAAATTCCTCACATATGCAACATCTCCATTGTCATGAGAGCCTGTGTTAAACGTTACTTTCGCCAGGCGTCGACATCGCCTATCAGGCGATTCGCTGCTCAAAATCAGAAGAATGCCTTTCGTGATTTAAGGTGTCAATTGAAGACTCGTGTTCTAAAATGAGGGCAGAAGTTGAAGTTGTATTTTGTCATAAATAATTCTCCAAAAAAGTGATGAGATTCCTCCAGATAACTTCTGGCCAGAATGGTGGGGACTTAACCAGCGTAATATATATACAGAATATAAAAATAATTTTGACCCAGCACTATATTACCTTCTTGTTATAAAATGTCTCATCAAAGTTCTGTATTATATTTAAAGAATACATGCTTCGAGTATTCATGAAAAATACATTCTATAAAACGTGAAAATCCCCTCTCTGAGCCAAACAACATTCTGGATATTTTCAGAGATGGTGTGAGTTTATTATTTTTTAACTTGACGAAATTAAAGGTAAACTATCCTCCAGTAGATAAAAATTATTCTACCGCACCAATTATCAACAATATTTTATTCATCATTCTAAAATTGTAAAAAATAAACAACAAAGGAGTGTATCCTCTATAATCGAACTGAAATGCTTCAATTACGGAGGGCACCCTGGAGGTCTTAAAAATGTCTGGTTTTTGGAAGAATGAAACACTTTAGGGAGGTGCAGTTTGTGCTAAGTTGAAAGTCATTAATACGTCCAAGGAGACCGATTCAAGCTCATTTGGTCCAAAATTTACTGTGTTTTAACATCGTAAAATTAATGTGTTAAAGTTGACCCTGTGAAACTATTGGTTGTTGTTCTAGACCAGAAATACCTAAAGAAACAGTGACTACATTAAATATTTATACAGTTGATTAAAACAGGCAACATTCTCGTAATTTACACCTGGCAACTAAATGTAAGATGGAAAATTGTTACCCTGGCAAGCGGTAAAATTTGTTTTTATCTTCCCGCTGGCAGTCATGTCCATGGTCGAGTCTAATGGACAGCTTTTGGAGCAATTTACGATTAATCTGGAGTCGAACAAAGAACCGCCTCATGCAATTTGTAAATATGTGGTGGTGGTGGGGGAGGGGGGGAGAGGAGTTGTCTCAGTGTAATCTACAATAACACTGGAAAATAAACCCAGCCGAACAAGAAAGCAAATTTGTCAGTTTCCATGGTAATGCTTTTAGCCGTGAAGCATTCTGTCGCTGGATGGTAACTGCGACTATCTTTTTGCTCCTATTTGACTATGTGATCATTTCAATTTCGTCCCTTTTTTCCATTTCCTTCCGGTCCAAGAAACTACCAACAATGGGTCACTAAACCTTGTTTATTTTATTGAATATTCTGAAAGTACAATGTGAGTAGATAACGTGGTGATTTTTCCGCATTTTTATGGAGCCGAAATCGCGGAGAAACCCGCTTTTGAAAAATCTAAAAACTGCAAGACATTTCAAACGCACCCAAATGGCGGGAAACTGACGGTGTTGACGCACTGCGGTAGTCATATCGCAATCTTCTCTCATTTTCCTCTGATGTTTGTTAAAATAAAACGTGTTTCAATATGGAATTTTTGCTCGTTTATTACAGCTAACATATGAATGAGATTCAAGTCTTGAATTCAAAAGATATAATTTCTACTTTAGTATTGTTTTCATGTACGAAGAGTAGGTAGACATTTGACAGAAGTCGTGGAAACCCGTGCCCGCTTCTGATTGGTGCCGGATGACATCATTCGGCGCGGCGCGAAATCGGGGCGTTTTAAATTTGCGTATAAGTTGAGCGATTTGAACTGCGCATTTCTCGGTTATTGAGTTACTTGTTCGCGTTTTTAATGTGCGCATCGTGTTCTACGCGTCATTTTCCTTCAGAAAACTATATTCGCAAGTCAAAATTCGTTCATGGTTTAGTGACCCATTGAGTAGGGTCACCATCAATATGCTATCTTCAAAACAGTTCGAATTTTAGCCTGAAAGCCTGTAACTCAACAAATCAATAAATAATAACGATTTCTTTGTAAGTGCTCAGGAAATTTTATTAAGGCCTTTGTGGAGACGGAAGATAACATAGGATCAAAGTCAACTTTTATAAACTTATTTAGCAAAGTATGATGATCATTTTGCCGCAAAGCTATAAATTCGTATGAAAGCTTTGTTTTGAAGTATTCTACTGAACAATCTACAATGAAACAATCACATTATTAGCACACTTGCCTGGCTGCTTCTTTGTGCATATTTGAATCTAATTTTGATTAAATCTTAAACCTTAAGCTAGCTTGTTTAACTTAAGCCTAATATCATTGCTCTCTCTGCTTTCAGGTGTCCCTTGTGGTCAGACAATGACCTGCTTCATGTGGATGCTGTTCGGCTCACTGCTGAGGCTGTCAAAAATAAACTTATAAAAGAAAATCCAGGTTTGAAGTTAAAAGTTGATCCCACTTTAGTTTTACCAGAAAATGCCTATAAAAAGAAGGCAGCAGTACCAGCCCATCGTGCGCAACAACGAGGCCTCGTTTTAAACCGGGTGATACCTGTAGATGTCCCTAGAGATAACCTACCGCCAGTGGATCTCAAACCTCCTGCACCGATTATTCCTCCCCATTTATTGCTCCAAGAACATGCCAACCAGGCTCGCGCTGCAGCGAGGCCCCAACACAGAGCCCCTCCTCCGTTTCCACAACCACCAGGTCAGTGCATGAATTCAATTGTAAACTCTTTTCATTTTCTGCTTCTTACACATTTTTTATCCCCTACACCTTTCAAATAGTATGCAGGTGCAGGGTAAATTTCATCAGGAGTCTAAAGCATGCACAAAAAAGTCCCTTCATTGTTTTGAATTTGCTTAACAAGGTGTTAGAAAAGTGTCCTCCCCTGCTAATTTTTTACCAAGTTGAAATAAAGATTCGAAACCTGAGGGATGCTCCTAGGTCAAAGGGAGCTTCTTTTTGGCCCCTCTAAAATTGTCAGGGGGCCCTTTAAGGAGACATCGGGCCTTAACCTTTTTTTTGTTAAATGGAAAGATCTCCCTTGTGATATCTTGTTCCAAGGAGCATACAAAGAAAAAAGAATTCGCGCAGACCCGTAGTCATCATGTGAAACCGTCTCATGATGACAATTGACTAAAGTTCAAAATAGCCTAAAACCAATTACAACACTACAAAGAAAAATCAACAAAAGGTAATAATTTAGCATAACCGGAAAAATGAACAATCCGAGTAATCGGCATCTCAGTTTCATGCCAATAGACTTGTCTGAATAGAGGTATCTGAGAGTATATTGGCAGGAGAAAAACTAATTTGACATTAGAATTTGTTTTTGAAATAAAGCAAGTTTTACAAAATCGCACCCTCTCTGAAGCTAGAAGGCGTTTGTATTGTACCCATTATGATGGAAGATACTGTATTGAAAACTTTCCTATATCAGCATAGCCTTCCTTTATTTTTGGAACAAAGACATCCAAGTACCAACAAAACTCAATAGCCGAAGCTATCAAAATGTCCAAAGTGTTACTAAAATTTAAACATTCCTGTAACGCTCTCGAAGAGGGTCAAAAAAGTCTGTCTTTACTTTACCATAGTAGTAGGAGAGAAAGGCGATTCTCTGGCATTAGCCAGAGAGTCTGGTACCATTTGTCCTCTCAAACTTAGAAGATACAAGAATGACACCAACATATTCAGGAAGAACCTCCCCTTACTGTTGGTCATAGACATCCATCATTATTGACAAAACACCATCAAACTACAATCACCTATCTACAGCAAAGCAGGGGAGGAATATGAAGAAACTGAACAAGGGGGAATAGGAGATGACAGCAGGAACACCACTCCAAAACTTCTCTTATGTATGGGCCATATCGAATCAGAATCCCACATACCTGTGGGTAAATGGGGTAATAGAAGGGCTAAACAACTCTATTCACAACTCTTAAAGGTTGGCCGTTGCTCCACAGGGTTTGAACATATTCAAACTTTGATATTGCGGAAGTGGTAGATTCACATGCCAGCGGCCATGTTGCTCCTCACCTCTGACTAACTGCTCCGAGACTTATCGCATGCACCTCAAAAGTGCCCGATGTCCTGCTAATCCGAATCCGTAGCTGCGGTTCCTATAGGCCTGGATACAAGCTCAAACCGTCAATTTTCTATCAAAATGATGACAAAAATGGCGGTCAAATTGTTGCAGGCTGCAAAAATTTGATGATAGATGATGAGCACCAGTCACCATTTAATCGGAAATTGATGGAAATTTGAGCGTGTATCCAGGCCTTATGAGGACCTGGGTCTCTAAAATAGCTGAAATGTGCTACAGACGGCCCCCATGGAGCCTTTAGTCCAAGTTGTTTCCCTGACTTGTCCTCTGTAATTTCATGTTTTCTTGTTCTTTGTTTCTTCTTATCCTTTCCTTAATTTTGTTTGGTATATTATTTTTCTCGCATATATGTTCCATCATTGTCTTACAATTGCATCTTGTGCTTCATAGCATGTGCATGATTACATGTTCATCCAGGATTAACCACAAACAAAAAATTACCTTGATAACAGAGGCTGAACTTCAGCAGGATCTTCATCAGGGTCTTCCTGCAATGGAAAATGAGTAATAAGGGAAGAATATGAACACTCATATCAGCAAAATGAAGTTTAGTGAGGAGTACCTTTAAAATGAACCAAAACTGGATTAAAATCAGAAAATTTGGTAGATAAAAAAAAACTACGAGAAGTACTAATAGTCTCTTTTATGTTCTTTGGACTTTAATACCATATAATGAGTCAAAATAAGTGATGGATCCATCGATAATCTGGAGAAATATTTCAAGGGTAGGACTCCAAAGGAAAATGTAACTGTAGCTTAGCTAATTTCCATATATTTAATAGGAACTCCAGTGATTGTGAGTTAGTATGTCGAGAAAAAAAACGCCCGAACAATTTCTATTTTGCGTTCAGATATTTACTTGATTATTTTAGGAACTGAAAAACCATTTATATTTTGAAATTTTATAGAAGCGTATTCTTTCAACGTTTTTTTCTTAGTTTTCGAAATATTTCAAGCATCTGTTCCAAATGGAAAATGCTGGATCATTTCTTTTAACACGTAACTTTACTCTCTGCCAAAGACTGGTTACAGGATGAACTGTGGTTGAATTTCATATTGTAACCTTACATGGTGCTTCTAGTATATGGACGCTTCTCCCAAAAATTAGGTATATTCATTTTCTGCACACATGAGCGGCCAGTTTCAGTGGATCCACAATTTTTTCAAGCTAAGAAATCATTTTTTCCATGACAGCAGGGTCACAGTGTTCAAGGTGTTTCAGGAAAATATTACCAAAGATCAACTGGAAAATAGGTATTTTTCATCCAATACTCCTCTTCAACTATTGGTCAATTAAAATTAGCTCCTTTTAAGTAACCTTAGATTTGGTTTTTTTGCTTTCATTTCAATAAACTCAATTTACCAATACTCTAATCTAATGGATGAAAATCTAGTGAATCTGAATCGCCCTAATTGTTCAAGATCGTACAATAACTCGGACTTAAAATGCACTTTTTTATTAGAACTGATGGTTCATCCCAAAAGATTGAAGACATGTAAAAATATATCATATTTATACCTTTTATACCTTTATACCTTTTATGAAATTTGGTAATGTATGATGTAACTTAATTTCTTTCTGCCTAATGTAGTGGGATTAATTTTGTAGGAAAACATAGTATTATGGAATCATGTTTATTCTGAAAGGAACGTTTTCTAGTGGTGTCCTTGTTCGAGTCGGAAAACATATACATTATTCTGAAGTCAAACCAAAAAACATTTTTCAGGTTTTTTTTTTTTTATTCACTTGTTTAAGAACCAGTTACATCACTTTTCAGAAAACCCATGTTCGTGCATATTAGAGTGGGTCGAATTCCAACTTTTTTGTCTCTTACTTGAGATATCCTTTTTCTTTTACAGAAAAATGATGATGATTCGTCCACATTGCACCAAAAAAGTTTAACCCCCTAAAATTTTGGATTGAATTTTCTCCTACTGTTTCCCTAATTTTCATTCACTTTCAGAGTGGTCATCGGTCAATGACGTTCTCCTTGGGTAGTGATCCCTTGTAAATTTAAAAAAAGTTGCAGTTTTTTATTGAAGAAGGAAAAAAAAAGAACAAAACATGACAAAGGTGACATCTGACATCTCTCCATCCCTGTTTCCCAAGTTAAAAGTTTTGGTGAAAAATTTAAAAACTTGGAACCACTCGCTTGCATAAGTCTTTTGATTTGTTGATTCATGCAATTTAATCGATCTGTGCAAATGAAGGGTTTCAAGTTTTTCAATTATTTACCAATTTTAACGTTACTTGTGTAGTGGCTTAAACTCCTACTTTAAAATTTTCATCTCATTAAAGTAAATGAGCAGAAGTACTTTTGTTGTTTCTTTTCATTTAAAGACCTGTGTTACATGACAGCAGCTATTTTAAGTTTCATATGGAATTGTGAAACCAAGGTGACTTTTCAACATCATTTATGTCTTTGCCCTAGTGTACTCATTCTTCCCCATAGAGTACAATAGAGTCGCAATGTACTGGAGCACCGATGAAGCCACTTTTGGAGGCTGTTTTGTCCAGTACTCCGGAGACTAGTGTGCGGCGACAAGCGATGACGCATGCGCTCAGCACTATCCACTCCCGACTCGGCTCCGCTACAGCAGAACGTCTCTGTCAGGTCCACACACATTGAACCAGCCAAGTAGGCCGGCAATAAGTCTGAAATTGAGTCCATATATGAATATTATCCAGGAGTAACATACATTAATGGATTCATTATGGCTTTGAATATCTATTTTAAGCAAATTTTGCACAAATTAATATCGATGGAATTGAAAAAAGTCGAAAAAACACAAGCAGTCGTTGATTTCTCCATAAGCCACCGTGTTAAAAATTGCCGGTTGGTTCACACTTGGTATAAGTCAGAAATTAAATTCCTATATGAATATTATCCAGGAGTAACATACATTAATGGATTCATTATGGCTTTGAATATCTAATTATGGCAAAATTTGCACAAATTAATATCGATTGAATTAAAAAATGTCGAAAAAACACAAGCAGTCTTTGCTTTTCCCGTAAGCCGCCGTGATAAGAAATGCCGGTCGGTTCACACTTGGTTTAAGTCTTAATTTACGTTCCTTATTGAATATTATTCAGGATTATGATACATTAATGGATTCATTATGGCTTTGAATATCTAATTATGGCAAAATTTGCACAAATTAATATCGATTGAATTAAAAAATGTCGAAAAAACACAAGCAGTCTTTGCTTTTCCCGTAAGCCGCCGTGATAAGAAATGCCGGTCGGTTCACACTTGGTTTAAGTCTTAATTTACGTTCCTTATTGAATATTATTCAGGATTATGATACATTAATGGATTCACTATGGCTTTGACTACCTGTTAATAGCAAAATTTGCAAAAATTAATGCTGATTGAATTAAAAAATTTTGAAAAAACACAAGCAGTTCTTGATTTCTCCATAAGCCACCGTGATAATAAGTGCTGTTGGGTTCACACTTGGTTCACACTTTTCGGAGCACAAGCGGCTCGGAAAGGCCCGTTCATGGATTGACTTTATCGGCGCTCCAGTACATTGCGACTCTATTGTACTCTATGTTCTTCCCCCAGAACAAGTCGGGAACAGACCCATCGGAGCGCATCTGAAAGTTTCCTCATTACTTTGAATATTTAAGAATTTAATTTACCTACTGGACTCAAGTTTTTGTGATAAAAATATCTAATTTCTCAATCACTCTCACTGTTTCACTAACTGGCTAAAGGCCAAAACTTTCTTTACCGTTCGATCCAAGCCCATGAAAAAGCACAATGAATAATTTTAATTTCCTGAGGTTCTGAATTTTGATTTTTGGCATCAGTTAACTATTTTAAGGAATTGATACTCCCTTATGGTAGGCTATGGTCCAGCAAAAGGAGACCTTCCTTGCTCCTTCATGGAAGTTTTAAAGCCAGTGATGAGGAGAACAATATGTTTTCTAGTTTGCTCTCTGTATATTGGAGTGGGGGTAAGAAATCCCTCTCACCCTAGACTCACACCCCCCCCACCCCAATTTGCCCATTTATTGGAGTATTTCTTTGAAGAAAACTAAGGACTTCATCTAAATCCTCCAAAAATTTGGACCCAAAATCGTCAACTGAAGAATATCTTATGTTGCATTTTGAACAATCATCATCATTTTACATTCCTTTGTAAATTTCGTTTATCATCAACTTTATACCACTTCTTGTCTTCACACAAAGCTTTGTTTTTAATGGCATATAAAGAGGGAAATGAACATTTTTGGTAAAAAAAAAAGCATTAATTGCGTTTTAATCAGTTTCCGAAAAGGAGAAGGAAAAATATAAGAAAATATATTAGGTACCTTAAAAGCTCTCTGAGAACAAATTCTTTTTCAACCCACCCTAATGCTAATCCTCTCCCAGAATTTTTTTTTTTTTTCATGTTTGTCATTTTTCGCTACCATGCTTGTTTTATTTTTACATTTTGGGTGAAATTCAAGTGTTCTGAAACTTGTTATTTTATAATATTTTATAGATGTTTTCCATTTCGAGAATGATTTCGACTATGACTTCGAAGAACTCGATGATGATTCAGATGCAGACAGTTTCATCGATGATGATGATGTCGATGATTGGCCTGAAGACTACTATTGACTCAGCAGACTCTCTCAGGGCTTTTTTAACTGTGATACTATTTGTTATTCGTTAGTGAATAAGCAAGGTGCCAGGCTACAGCTTCCGTCAATTTCTGTCTTGTACTAGCACACTGCTCCTACCTCTTAATTTTAATTGAATGATCTTTGTTGTTTATAACCATCTCATTATGTAACATACATGTTTCAAATAATACATGGAAGGCAACCTGATTTTGTAATTTTTTATGTTCCAATTGTTGATCACACCTTCAGACAGTGGTCTTGTAGAGTCAAGGGGCTGAGGCCTTTCTCCTCAGACAGTTGATGGGATCTTAAACCGAATATTTTCAGTCCTCTTGTTGTCTTTTGACTCCTCATATCCACGTGTAAAACTTCGATCATATTTCAGCACCATGTTTCAGCTTGGTGTTACTGAAGCCAGATTTTCAAAATGCCTCCCCTTCTCATTTTGAATGCGTCTTTGCAGCATATTTGCATTGCTACTGCATAGACTTGTTCCACCGAACGGAGGTGCGAACTAACTTTAAACAGGGTTGCCACAGTCAGGGAATACCGGGAAAACAAGGAAGTCTCTGGGTAAAATTGTCAAGTCCTCTGTATCTGCGCTCTAGAATGGGTTTGACGTTTTGAACAACAACTTTTGCCTGAAAACTATTCCAAATCATATCTTTTTAACAATTTAGCAATTCTTCAATTGTCAGGGAATTTTACCGAAGTGTCTCAGGAAAATCAGGGAGATTCATCCTCCAAATTCTTTGGCAACCCTGTATTAAAGGATTGAAATTGGACTCTTTTTCACTTCCTTGTGGTATTATCTAGAGGCTGGAAGTAGTATATTGACGGTGAAACTACCAGAGCAGATATCTCGGTTTGCGATGTTGTATACTTATTGCCTTACTTTATTTTTTAAATGAAAAATTACTTAATGTAAGTTCTTGAAAACTTACGTGATTTTTCATCTCTGTTCAAAGAAAACTCGGTGAAAATTTCAACGAATAATATTTATTTGTTCTCTTTTAAGAAAATAAAATGGGAGGGGAAATTTTTAAACTCTGCAAACGAGATATGTGATCTGGTACTTTCACCATCAATATGTAACCATGACAGGTGTGTTAATTAATCTCATTAAAAAGTGCATTCTCACTCTACATTCCTTAAGGGAAAGATTGTGCAAAACTTTTTTCCAAGTATTGATTTTTATGTTAAGGATCTCTTTTTGAATTTGATGTCCAAAAATGAAATTTCCTCTGAAATTACGAGTAGAGGAGAGACATGGTAATCAAAGCTTTTGGTAATCCAGACTCTCAAGTGCCTGATTTACAACATCACTGTCTTAAGTGGATCCGTGACTATGTTAGGTTAAGAAAATTTATTTTTGTTTCATTGGTTAAATTTTTTTTCTTTCTATCTTTCTCTCTCTCCCCCTCCTTGTCTTCCCCTCCCTTCTCCTTCTATTTGTTAATGACATTGCATAAAACAACTGTTTTAGCACTATCAGAAATATTATTGTTTGTGTTGCTCAATTTTTTTATGTCTCAGTTCTATTGAAGCAATGCTCTCTGCATGTGACATTCTCATCAAACATGATGCCTTATTAATTGTAAAAGACCTCAGATGAAAGTTAGTATGAAGCTTCTTAGGGAAAGTGTCTATAATCGATACATCTTTAGTATTAGGTTGATATAAAACATTTTCTTACTGATTTCAACTCAGTAATAACATGTGTAATATGTCTCAATTGCAATAAATTCCCTCTTTTCATTGATACCCAGTCTGTTTTCCTTTTAGCCCTAACTCTAGCAACTTGATCAGTTTATTCTAAAGCATTAACTGACAAATCTTTCGGTCTCCGCTTCGTGATAAAGCTATGGTCTTATAAGTAGGCTCCTTACTCAAAGAGTTTACTTTTGAAACTTAAACCAGCATCCCTATGGTGTATTCTATTGAAGCCCACAAGAACTTTTAAAAACTTTACTATTTGTTACCAGCTCTTTTTGACAGGAATCGTGATTGGTATGTTCCTGAAACAACAGCAAAATTTTTATGATCTGTATTTCTTCAAGATAATATTAATAATGCATTGGATTTGTTCAATGTGCAATTTTGGGTTCAGTTCGACTAATCAAAATTTCTGGTTGCTGGATTTTTCTCTTCTGTTCAACTTTATGTTTGCAAGAATAATTATTGTATGACTATATTTATATTTATCTCTATTTTGCTCCCTATTTATGTATATATGCTGAAAGTCTTCATTTTCATTTGCCTTTTAGCTTTCTTTTTTTTTATTTACTACTACTTTTTTTCTTTCTCTCCTTCTTTTATTTCATTATTTTTTTACAAGGTAAACTTTCTTTGAGTTCAACTTTTGATTTTTTTTTTTTTTTGGTTTTTTTTTTCCAGCTCAACCGGCCTGGAGACCTTAGAATTTCAGTTATTATACTTAAAGTGTACCATAATTATCAGCAAAAAAGCGAGGAATATCCACCGTACAATATAATACATAGCAAACAAGCCTGTTCACTCTAGCAAGTATTTTCTGTTTATTCGAGTACTATTCAATTTACCCTCAGTTTCATGTAAATTACAATGCAATGCATTGAACTCATTCATTCCGCTGTAAGTGTTGAAGCGGTAAAATTAATTCTTATGATTTGACACTCCGGTACCTTTTACTATCATGAAGAATATACGTATCTAAAATATTTTTATCATTTATCCTGTATCTTCTCTTTACATATTATATGATAAGGATTTCTCAATATTTTTCGATTGCCATTTACCATAATTCTTAAATCGAAAATAATCAAGTCAAGTTTCAATTCATATGTCATATCAATTCATAGTGAATGAATGATAAACATAATGAATGGATGCAGGACATTCAAAATTTTTCCGTGCACTAGTTGTTTGTCAAAAATTAGAGCTTCATTTTAAAAAAGAATACTAACCACCAACCAGTGAGTGTTTTTCCTTCTTTTTCTGATTTGGAAATCTTCTATCCTTTTTTCAGTAATTTAAAATTTTGTACAGTCTCTCATTTGAAAACTCTCTGCTCTCATTTACTTTCACTCTGGTTATATTTAGCTAAGGTCATCCTTCCTTTTAAGTTTCACTCTATACATCACTATTTGCTAATCCTGTTTTCTAATTGATCAAAGCTTCATTCGAACATTTTTTTAAACAAATATTTGATAAAATTAATTGTGTGTGCTGAGGTTTTTGAACAGCATGAAGTAGAAATTTGTCTGCTCCCACAGTTACTTTTTCCTGTCCTTTTTACAAACTGAAAGGCTTACAGGCTGAAAATGAATGGCAAAATTATCTTGTCAGAAGTTTAGAAGTCTCTGTTTACTCTTTTTGCCTCACAGTTCATTAGGGAGATTTTTTAGTCAAAACCTAACCTAAGGCAAGGCAATTATGAGTTGGAAAGTATCCGCTCATTGTTTCTTTTGATATTTGTTCATGTAAAACTCGCTGTTTCACACATCACAGAATCTTCAGGAAGACAATTGTGATTTTGGAAGGGAGTTTTTTTCTTCTTTTTGAAATGATAACAGAGCTCTTGCATGCATCAGGAATTTAAGATTCAAGTTCATACTTACTTAATGAAAAATTTCACAAGAAACATGATGGTGCCACCGGTTTTCTTTGAAACAAACTTCCAAGCTCAGAAAAAACTCTCAAAGTTGAGGCCTTAGTGAGGGAGATCCCACTTGTTATGCTGAGAAACCACCTCTACATCCAGTCAAACTCCTCATGCATAAAGAAAGAGCAAATACATTAGCGGAGTCGCTGTGTCTCCAGCCTTTGAGGCTTGGATCTGGCTTATTTGTACTTGGACAATTCGACTAGATAAAAAGGTACTAGAGGTGGCTGGTGGACTCTCAGAGTCAGATGGGATCTCTCCATTACAGCCTCAACTTCAAGAGCTTTTTTTCGAGCTCAAGAGTTCATTTCAGAGGAAACCTGTGGTATTATCAAGTTGCTCCCATTTTATATCAATATACTTACTCATGTCACCAATCACTTACACATGCAAGAACTGCGTTGTCCTTTTTGGGAATTGATTGAGAGGGATTCTGTATCGTTTGTAAACAATTTAGAGTCCTCTCACCATGTTTAGGTTCTAGAGGATGTCCAAGTAAAACAAGAATTGTATTTTTCAGAGTTTGCCACTCACTATTTGTCACTGATTCACACAGGCATGAGGTATGAAGTTCTTCATTTCCCATGTTTTTGCAGTAGGAGGAGAAATTTTGTGATTATAATTTTTATTATAGTTTATAATATACCTAGAAGATTGAAAAGGTCTCAGGGAACTCTTTTGCCTCCCTCTTCCTCTCTTGAAAGCCTTTCATTTCTTAAAAGGTCCCTTCACTTCATAGTTTTCTAAATCGCTAATTTCTTATGATTTGTATTTGTTCCTATTGTTTTTGTTTAGTTACATACATTATATATTTTAATTTTTTTAAATCACAAATTTCCTTGTTATGAATTTCAGTCAAATCAAAAGTACCCACTTCATGATGCAGCTTCTTTGGCATGAATTGCCATGACAACTATATGACAGCCCTATTAATTGGTTCCATTTCATGGGAGAAACACACTTAAAACAATTTAAACCCAAAAATAGAATTTTAGAGGTTGTACCATCACCTCAAAGTTCTGGCAAAAATGACATTGGTTAATATGGAGAATGTAAGAAGAAATGTAATTGTAGAAAAATGTAACTTTTTACTGGATGCTTACTCTTCTTACAGTGATAGTGGACCAACTACAAAGATAGTCTTCTCCCCGTTTTAGCTAATTTAAGTGTTGCCCTAACTTGGATTAGTTGACTCTCTGCCTAAAAATTCCATTTTCCGGCTCAACTTTTTCTTTGGTGTGTTTTTTCATCGAATGCAACGTCTTGATTGTTGGCCATAGTCAGATTTTCAATTTATCCAAAATTAGAGTAATCTAGAATAAAAGCTGAGAGACTGATACTCCCGTCAAGAAAAGCATCCGGCCACCAAGAAATAAAAGGTCCTTAAAATGCATTCTGGAATCCTGTATGGGAAACCATTGGAGTTGAGTAGTCCATTTTCTGATAGGTCAGGCGATTTGAAGCAAGCGGAAACTCGTCGTTATGCAAAGCATTGGATTTTTTAAAGTACGTTTCTTAAAACTAATTGATACAATCTAGCTGTAACTTTAATTAACTGAAGATTAGAGCATCAAAATGCTATTAAAATTAAAACCCTACAAATACCATAACCATACTGTCAACATCAGCATTGCCCTTTTAAATACTTGTAATTTTAAACTATCAGGACAAGCCGATTCTCCATTTTTGCTGTTGCGAGCAAGCACCGACGCTCTTTTTAAGTTACTCTACTTAGGTTACCCATATTTGATATGCATTTACCATTGATATGCATCTCAGTACAGCTTGTCGAAGTTTCCCTCCTCAATTTTTTTCTTTATCTTTGGGCATCTTACAAACAGACTATTTTGCAGGGTAAGAATGTTACTCAGAGTAACACATTTTTTTATCAAACAGTTTTATCTGAACATAAAAGACATATTGAAAATGTCCTAGATCGTCTCTTAAAGTGAGAAATTGGTTTAGTTTTGTGGTTTGCTTTCAAATCAGTGAATTCAAACTTCTTATCACCAAGAGAGAGAAAAAAAAAAAACAAATAAAAATCTATGTAGGTCAGAACGATCAATTATCAATTAAAATAAACTAATTTTCTGGGGAATAATTCTTTCACATTTTACTTTTTTCAGTTCCTCGGATCAGAAGAAATTATCAGCTCACTTTGAAAATGTGTAAATCGTGTATTCACCTACATTTATTTATTAGGCCATATTTTCAGTATTATTTTGAACTTTTTTCTTTTTTCTTTTTTTTTTGGTATCAAATATATTAAGAAAAAAAATTTTTTCTACAGAATAGTTTTGCCGTCAGATTTTTGAAGAAAAAGTTTAGAAACTATCAATCAATTCATAGATACCTACTGAAGTTGTTCTCATCAGTGTACTATGATCCATCCAAAAATTTCTTCAATAATTTTCATGCAAATATTTTTGTTAGTGTTTGTCAGAAAGGAAAAATAATTAGAGAAAAAAATTTTGACAAGGTTTTTTTGTTTTTCAGTTTCAGCATTGATTTTCACTCATCTCTTTTGACTATTTTAAACTCTAAAAAAAGAGTGAAAAACAGATTATCAAGCAATTGGATGAATACTCATATATGAAAATTGACGAAGTATTTACAATGCAGAGGTATGTTGAGGCATGCTGTTGAGGGGTTTTACTTTAGGTAGTTTAATCCGACTTGATTCAAAGCTAATAATTTTTTCAGGGGGCTGAAAAATGATTTTAAACTTTGAGTGAATAGTAATTTTTCTTATGGTTGTTTCAAGAAACTGCGATTATTAAACTACTGATTTTAAATGACTTTTAACTTCGAATCAGTCTGAGCTGCAATCATAGGTCAGTATTTGAAGCGAACCTAGTGGTAAAGGCAAGTATATGTTAGTCTTGAATTTGTGGACCATGTCACTTTTAATTGTATTTGTTAATATGGGTACTTAGTGCTGAAACCATCTGCGGCCCGATTATTGAAACTATGTCGGCCCGACACGACAAGACATAGCCCTATCTTAACCATGCAATATAAGTATCGCAATTCGATGTCTTATCGGGCTGCTTTAAAATTTCAATAATCGGCCCGCTGATCTTAATAATAGGTATCAACATTTTTTCTTTTGCTCACCTAATAATTCTGAAGTATCACCATTACATAAAATATTGGTCTGTTACCAATGCTTAATTTTTTAATTTTTTTCCTCTCTGCAACTTGGGAACCACAAACAGTTTAGCGCCGAGTTTTTGGA